CTACTTTCCAGCTTGTCCCAGACATGTTTCGCCTCGTGAAGCATCGATTTGGACCTTTACCAACCTCTTTAGCAGATAGTCCCTGTCGACCGGTCTCCAAGGTCCGTCAAAATGAATCAGAAAAAGGATCTAAAGGAAAAAACAGCACAGATCCATACCACATACCTCATGCAGTCGGGTCTAACAATACATCCATTATCGACTCTACACAAAACTCCAATACAGGTTGGACAGAACCACCATCTACAAATTCCCCTCCATCAAATCAACTACCTTCTCGTTCAGCCATAATAAAACATGTCATTCGTGATTTTGCTTTCGTCTCCCTCTTTGTGGCTGTTCTATACATGCTCCTGAAACATTGCGGAAATTCAATAAGCTGTCGAAGACGTCGAGTAGACATGCTAGCTCGTCGTGAGCAGAGACGAACACTACATGCGTATCGAGCAGCAGCGTGTCGATACCGACTTAGGCAATGGTGGCATAGGCTGCTCGGTCGTGAAGACATGGCCCCTATAGCTCAGTCTCCGACTACTCCTATTAACGGCGAGCAAAACGATACCATCCGGATATCAACTTTACCTCCTAGCTCCTTGACTTCAGAATCAGAGAACGATACAATGCCGAATGAAATTCTGGGGTTGCGACGTGTATTTGAATTTGTCGGGGAGCTCGTGAATCCTAACGGCCCGCCTGCTGTCGGTGATCGAGTACAACCTAGACTTGCGGCTCAAGATATAACTGAAATCACTGCGCGGAGATACGCGGCAGGAACACCAGCCCCATCATCCACGGCTCCTTTAACCACAATCGGATCTCCAAGAGCAAGTACCAGTATACTTAGTTTTGAGACTGATTCGGAAGATACGGTCGACAGCCTTGATCCAGAAACAGCCACGATGATGAGTGGATAGGAGTATCATTTACTTTCCATCACATATCATCTGTTTCTTATTATCCATTTTTTAGATCTCTTATTTTGGACCCGAACCGTCTATTTTTTTTTTTTTTTTTGATTAATTTATACTTCATGCTACTTAACGTTCGTTCATATTCAACGTTGTCCTTTTTACAGCTGGATGTAGCCATGCATATTTTGCGTCCATTCACCGACTGACTTTTGAGTCCTTGTGCTGGTACGAGACGAAAATCCCCCAGTCTCACGGAAGCGAAAGTAAGGATGTCTTTCACTAGCCTTCCTTAATTCTGCTGATTTATACATCTTGGCTAGTATATTTGTTTATTTACGAATCTGCATGTTCACGCAAACGTCGCTTGATAAGGATTTGTCAATTCCTCGCTAGAAGACCATAATTGTCATACAGATTTACAATACAGTTAATTCTTAGGAGAGCAAGTTCACAGCCCAGCCTACCACCCCTATCTTAGACCTTTGGCTTCTTCCCAGCTCTATCCTTTGCCGGCTGTACATCTTCCATCTCATCATCGTCATCTTCAACAGTGAACTTCCTCTTTGAGCGCTTTTTAGTGGCGGAAGCGGAAGCCTCATTCCCATCCTCATTATCATCGCCTTCTCCCTCCTTACCCTTCCCGTTGCCTGATACCTTTGAAGCCCGCTCGTCAAAGGCCTTCAGCAGAACATCATATCCCTCCTCCACGTTCTGCAGTGTCTCGTCAAGTTTGACTACCCGTTCGTCCTTGTCAATCTGTATTAACATGTCTCGGTGTCGTTTGTACAATCGTTGCTTAACAAGCATGCGCCACCAATAATACCGTCTATCATGCTCATTCTGCAGCCGAGACTTCTGCGTTGTGAGACGAGTCATATTGACGTTTTCCGCCCCGCGGTGGGACTGAGGTATCTGGCTAAGAAGATACATCTCAACCAGATGAGCAAATTGTGTAGGGGCGATTTTGAACTCCTGCCTGAGGTCATCGAGGGTTTTTGTAGGGATTAATCGGGAGGTTGGCATGACGCGGGGATGTTTTGGAGGTTGAGAAGAGGAGCTTCCAGGGGTAGTGTTTGGGACGGGGTTGGCGTTGATTGTAATGTTATGTTTGGAGAATTCTGGTTTTAACGTGCGATAGTCATTTGAGTCTCGCAGTGCATCAAATGACTCGTTTGGATCCTCAATAGTAAGTTCGAAGATGGTAGGGTCCTCAAGGCAGGCTTTTTGAATTGTGCGATAGAGCTGGGATCCATGGCCAGCGTGCTGATGTGGTTTAATAATGAGGAACTGAGCAATGCGTAAACGCGCGGGTATCTTTGAGACTGGGAATGAATCGAATGCCTCTGTTTTCTGGGCCTCGTATGCCAACTTTGCAGCATTCGATGACTTAGGATGGAAAAAGTACCACCTGTATGTGGTTGCGTATCCTGCAAAGGAGTACCTTGATGCCTTTGGGCTAGACGGCTTTTTTTGCTTTTCGTATCTATCACCAGTGTTAGAGCACTACCAATCTGAAAAGGAGTGAGCGAGTGAGCAGAACATACACAAAGTATATTATCCATCTTTCCAGAGTCCAGTCAAAGTCGTCTGTCTCAATGGGAGTTCCGCCTTCGATGAAGAACGACACGAAGATCTGTATCCTATCCAGAACCTTGCGCACTTCTGGATCGGCCAGGGAGCCCGCCCATATCTCATAGTCTTTATCATCTCTCGAATAGCTATGAACAAGCTTGCCTGGGGGTGTAAAGTTCGCCGCATCCCCCTCATTTATACGCTTCTTAAAGTCATCGATGGTCGAAAATGAAACTAACAGCACGTCAGCGTTGCTCACATCTTCACTTATTCCCTGCTGTACATGCCCTCTGGAAGACACGGTTTGAGGATCCCAAGGAGATCAGCAGCTTTTATATCCTCTACCTGCTTGAACTTCTCATTGTACGAGATTTGAACGTGTGATTGGAGGTCATGCGCCGCAAATCGAAGCTTGATATTCAGCTTTTTATAGCCGAATATCGATTCCTCGTCTCCAAAGAGTGGGTATGTGAACTGGGGGTTGAAGGTTGAGAGAGTTGTCAACTTCTGGCCATCGTCGCCTGGCTGGACCATGGATATTTCCACTGCATCGTTGGCGTCGCAAGTCCCTGGGGAGCAGTGTCAGTGCCGGAGCGATATCAATAGGAATTAATAGCTTTGAATACTCACACTTGTTATGTTTATCCATCTTGAATCGGTGTATCTGCGCTTCTCTGGTTCTTCTCGTCGTCGCTCAGCGTGAAGTCAAGATATAAATTAAACGCGACGCGATTAGATTTACTGACTAAGCTGTATAATTTTATTATATAATCATTATATAAGTTGATTTATATAATTTTATATTACTTAATCGTCACCTCCTCGACTTCAAGCATTTTTGAAATAGAAATTCAAGCTGTCCACGATGAACCGAAAGTTATATTTATACTATCCAGAATAATATCAGAGCTGATTCTAATAACATGCTAGGCCTACATCAATTAAAGTATCTACAGAGGGGGGGGGGGGGGGGAGATATATACATCTCTAAACATGCAACAAAATCCAGTATGCAACGACAAACGCATTAAGGGAATTAAATCAAACAACGACATTGAACTCATCAATAACGCTCCTAGGTCTCTGGTACTTCCCGATGCTCTTCCACTCCATGTCGAGGCCGAAATACTTGGGTCCACCGACATCAAGGCCTCTCTGGTCCTGGGTCCAGAGTGGATGAGCCGCCATGCCGATGACACGCACCCGGAGACCGTACTTGAGTTCCTGGGATCCTACTGCCTCACCGTCCTTATCTAGGATGGAGATGAGGTCTGGGACGGTGCAGATGACGTCCTGGTTGATTGCCTCTTGGGGTTTATCGAGGTTAGATACGTGAGCGGCGTAGAGATATTCGTTTTGGAAGGGGATGATGAGGTGTGGCTGAGTTTCGGTGGAAGATGAGGAAGATGAGGTGCTATTGGTGTTATCGTAGGAGTCTGCTACTTCATCGCTAGATAGAGGGGCAAGGATGCAGTAGCCCATTGTGTAGCCGCGGCTGACGTCTCGGTGGACGTCGATTATTTTGCCTGTGTATAGGAGGCGGCCGGGGGTGGTTTTGAACTAGTCATATTAGTTTCATAATATATACATGGGTGGGTGTGTTTAAAAGAAGTGACTTACGATTGCTTCGATGACATCGACCTTCTCACGGCGAGCGAGATGGATGGCTCGTCCGAGGTACCAGGCTTGAGACATGGTGTTTTCCACGGCGTACTTCTTGATAGCCTTCCCGGTAAGGGGAGCAGCGGAAACGGAGGTGAAGAGACCCAACTCTACACAGGTAGTTCTAAGCATGGTCTCGATTCTCTGGTTGGACTCGGCGTGCATGACGACCGAGACGTTACCCTTCGAGTCAGCCAAGGCGCATGGTGAGATTGTTTCACCGTAGACGTAAGGGGTTCCGTGCTGGATGGTAGGATAAGCTCGTCCCATCAGATCTCCATCGATGGTGGGGATATCGTAGTGCACTGCAGTAGGGAAGGTGACCATTCCGTTTCCTCCGCCAATCTCATCGGCCATGATGGCATGGAATTTCTCGTGTCTGGTAAGCTTGATGGATTCTTCGACTGATCGGATGAGTTCATTGCCCTGGGGAATACGCTCTGATGACACGCTGGGGGCTCCGTACCAGGAAGCGAAGACGCAGACATCTGTGTCAGCCATGCTTTCAGGCTTAACTACTCTCATCTTCCGCTTGCCCTTCTTGCGAAGACATTCAAGTGCAATGAGGTATTGTTGGTACGAAGGACCACCACCACCTGTCCCCAGCACGCCGGTGCCAGAGGCAATGAATTCCAGGTCAAGAGGGCTTAGGTACCAGACGCCATTCTCGACTTCGGGCTTGTATAATGGTATATCGACGTAGATCGAGTGCTTGACAGCAGATCTAGACACGTCCTCGGCGGTGGCAGCTTTCTCACCTTCAACACCGTTGCCGTTGTGGCCGTTGGCTCCGTTGGTACCGTTGGTATAGGCAGGTAGTTTAGCCCGCTCCTGCTCGGCCTCTTCCTCCGTGGGTACTCTCAGTTTGCCGACAGCCTTGACCATGATACGGGTAGCCTTGTTGGTGACATATTGAAGAGGCAGCTTTTCGATCTCAGCAATCTTCACGGTGTCTCTATCTGCACCTCGCTGGATGGCCATGTCGACAGCTGTAGCTTGGACTTGCTTGAGAACTTCATTCTCGTCCTTTCCAGCAAGGATCTCAATGACGTCCGCTGTTCCTGCAACTTTGGCTATGGCTGCACCGACGGCGTTGGCAGAGTCATGGTGAGGGGGGATGATGCATTCTTCGACGCCTTGGAGGTCGTCCATGTAGACGATTGAACCACCTCCGACCAGGAGGACGGTAACGGGAAGAGAAGACACCTTCATGCTTTCGATGCCACGGCTGAGCAGCTTGGTGATGGCCTTTCGTGCATCCTCGATGGTCTGCTGAGTGACATCAGCAACCTCGGATGCATCTCCTATCTGCTCCTTTCCAGCCGCAACGACGATGTCAGTGGTAGTAAGGGTATCACCACCAAACACTTTGGCCTTGCTGGTCAGGTAATGGCCAACAGAGTCTGGTCCTACAGAGACATGAGTTCCATCCTGACGAACAATGCTTCCTCCTCCGAGTCCGATGGAGAGCACTTCTGGCATGGAGAACATGGTACGCACACCACCGACTTCAACGAAGTTCGATGCCTGGCGGGGGAAGCCTGACGGCATCAAGGCACAGATATCGGAAGTCGTACCCCCGATATCGATGACCAGTGTCTGTCTCTCTGCATTTGACATGCTGCCGGTTCTCCGGTCCAGGGAGGCCAGGAAAGCAGCTCCGGTCAAGCTGTTGGTTGGGCCACTGGCAAAGGTCTTGATTGGCAGCTCAGAGGCAGTGACAGCATCCGTCAAGGTACCGTCATTCTGCGTCAGATAAAGGCTGCAGGTAAGCTTGAGATCCGACATGGCCTGCACAAAGGCCCGGACGGTCTTCTGGGCCAGCTGGAGGATGGAGGCGTTGAGGATGGTGGCATTCTCACGCTCGAGCAGGCCCACGCCGCCGATGGTATGGGAGCATACGACCGAGAGGCCCGGGTCGACCTCGAGCATGATCTTCTTGCAGGCCTCTTCGTGGATGCCGCTGTGGTCGAGGGGTGAGAAGATGCCTACGAGGGCCACCTTGGTGATTCCCGCTGCGCTGATGCGCCTGGCGGCCTCCCGGATCTGCTCGGGGTCCAGCCGAGTGATCTCGCGGCCATCGATCTCGAGGCCTGCAGCCAGCGTCAGCTTAGCATTCCAATAGCTAATATAGTTATAGAGTGACAGACGGTCCCTTACCTCCGTCCAGATAATAGGACTGGCACTCGATGATGCTCCGCAATGCCGGAGGGAAGTTTGTAAAGGGCGGGATCTACAACCACCAGCATCAGCAACGACGCATCAACGACGACATAGCAACGACAACGAGAAGAAGAAGACGAACATCCTGGCTGAAGGTGCCGCAGAGCCTGGCGACGGCGACCTTGCTGAGTCTCCGCGCATCGGCTTCAACGACGGCATTGACAAAGTGCGTTGTCCCAATGGCCACGCTGAGGATATGGGCCGGGTCGATGCCCGACTTGCTCAGGACGCTCTCGACGACGCTCTTGATGCCGCTGGTGACATCTGGGGTCGTGGGCGTCTTGCTCGAGGCGAGGACTCCGCGCGAGGGCGTCTCGCTGGCCGTGATATCGAGGATGGCGGCATCAGTGTTGGTCCCGCCGACGTCAACGCCTATGCGGTACATCCTGACGTCTGCAGAAGCGAAGGGACAGCAGCAGCAGCAGCAGCAAAACGAACGACAAGCAGCGGCGGCTACCAGTTAAACTATTACTCTGCCTAACGACGGAGAGGATACGGCCAGTCTGAGGCCCTGTTTGAGGCTATATGCGAAGGGAGCAGCTGGGGGGGGTCCAGAGAGAGTCCTCGATCGCCGCGAGGTCTCCATCAGCAGTTTATATATCAAGTCCGCTGGCCGGGCCTGACTAGCCGTGGCCGTCACTGTCTCCGCCCAAGGGCAGGCTACAAACGAAAAGGGCATGCGGTGGAAGAGGAAAAAGGAGGCAAACGCCCTTCGCCGGCCATCTCCTGCTGTGTCAACAAGCGTCTTGTCGGTGCTGCTGCGAACCCTCGACACTGATCTTCCCGGAGGACAAACCTGCATGGTCCCCCGTTTGGCGCTGTCAAGCAAGTCATGATGCAAGCGATTTGGCCGAGCGAGCCTCCATTTCCACCAACCATCGCCATCTCCGACTGCTCCGGTCAGGCGTCCGCTCCCATTCGCGGAACAGCAGGATGCCAGAGCCACCAGCGGGAGGTCATGGTCATGGCTGAGCTGGCAGACGGGGAGGGGGTGCCGCTGGTTAGTGAGTTACAGACCCAAATATTATTGCCAGAGATCTCCGGGACGAAACCAGCAGCTGCTGTGTAACTAGATAACCATTAGTTATACGAGAACCTGGCTCGCCGTTTGGGTCCTAGCTGGGCGATATCTCGCACTAGTTTACCCATCAAAGCCATGTTCTCCATGCTTCAGACGGGCTTGGTCCAGGCCTCGAGCCCATTTGGCGGTCCACCAAGCAGAGCTACCAGGCCCAGCGAGCCGGTTGCTTTCCGGGGCAATGGACGGACGAAGTCTATCTCGACGGCTCTGGGGGTTGAAGAAGTCGTATCCCGGCTCAAAGCTTGGGTTATCCAGAGCTCTATTATAGCTCGGGGGCAGCCAGCAGTAAGCTGACTGTGAAATGCCTGAAGAAGTTCGCCGACAGGAGTTTGGCCGGCCTGCACGGCGAATATCCTTACCTTCCTGTGTCAGTAACTAACTAGCAACTACCATGTCTAGCCGAGGAACAGAGGGTCGAATCCATGGCCGTCGTCTTATCGTGCTCTCCTTCAGGGCATTGTGCGGAGAGCCAGAGTTTGGATGTACGAGCTGAGGTCCGGGGGGTGATGAGTCGTATAACTACAGCTGAATGACATACATATACGCCGGACTCAGCAAGTGGTCATCTACGTTTTGAAACCATACTCGAAACTATCACCGCAACCAAGCCCTAACTATTCCTGGATTGCTGAAATGAACAGGATACTGAAGAAGCTGGAGATCGAGCATGAAGGAGGTACGCTGCCAGACCCCTGGATCAACTTCGACATCAAGCCCATCGAGGCTGGACGGAGGACATGGTCGGCATGGACTTTCACCACCTACTGGGTTCTCATAAACTCCAACATCTCCTCATACATGACCGGCAGCTCCCTGATCGCCCTGGGACTACCTTGGTGGCAGGCCATCATCGCCATCGTCATTGGTAATCTGCTAGCGGCTGTCTTTGTCGTGCTCAACTCCCTACCAGGAGCATACTACCACCTCGGCTTCCCAGTCGTCAACAGATATGTCTGGGGGATGTACGGTAGCCAGTTTGTCATCTGGAATCGTATCTTCTTGTCTATCGGTATGTTCCTTTGCTTATTTTGTAAATATATTAACTAACAGTGTTTCAGTATGGTGAGTTTATTCTGCGGATGTATGAAGAGGTGCCGGCTAACCAATGTAGGTACGGCTTCCAAGCATACATCGGAGGACAGTGTGTCTACGTCTGTCTCAAGGCAATATGGCCGTCTCTCGAGCAGCGTATACCAAACCACCTCTCCCCTTCAACAGGGATTACTACCGCCCAGTTCGTTAGCTACATTATCTTCATGGTCATCTCTCTTCCAGTTGCATACATCCGGCCGCACAACCTGCGGATGTTCTTCTACATCTCCGCATCTGTCATTGTCGTTTTTGAATTCGTCCTTCTCGTCTGGGCGTTGGCCACCATGGGCCCTGCAGGGTTTGGCTCCACAATCTCAGGCGGAGGGCCAGGGGAGCCAGTCAAGGATGCTGGCTGGCTTGTTGTGTTTGGTATCATCAGTACAATTGGCGCCATATCCGCCGGAATCCTTAACCAAAATGACTATGCTAGGTTTGCAAGGAAGCCCAGAGACGCTATTCTCGGACAGGTCATCAGCTTCCCAATTTTCAGCATCATTTGCTCTGTCATCGGCGTGCTCGTCACTGCCGCAACGCAGAAGAGGTTTGGTGAAGCACACTGGGACCTACCGTCTCTCATTGGAGCGATCATCGACCACGGAGGATCCAGATCGAGAGCTGCTGCATTCTTCGCAGGTGGTGCTCTCGTCATTTCTCAGATCGGCGTCAACATCCCTGGAAACGCTCTTTCGGGAGGTAATGTCAACCATCCCGGCTGCTCATCAAAAATCCTAATTTAACTAACCTATGTATTCATTGCTGAACTAGGCTTCGACCTCGCGGCGACATTCCCCAAATACATCAACATCCGGCGCGGCGCATACATTACTATCGCCCTCTCTATAGCTTGTAACCCGTGGAAACTCGTTTCCACAGCCACTATATTCCTCAGCGTGCTGAGCAGTTACGCTGTGTTTCTGGGCCCAATGACCGGCCTCATGATCTCGGCCTGGTTCATCGTTCACAGACGGAAGCTCAAGGTCGAGGACCTCTACACCGGCAACCGCGCCAGTATCTACTGGTTTAGCCACGGGTTCAACTGGCGTGCTTTCATTGCAGTAAGATACACCGTTATCTCAAACACCTGCTCACGCCTCGTATTCATTAGTTAATGGATTGTTTCCAGTGGATATGCGGAACCGTTCCATCCCTGCCGGGCTTTATTGCAACGGTCAACACGGATGTCCATGTCCCCGTTGGCTTCACCCGTATCTACAAGCTCTGTTTCCTGGTCGGTTTCCTAATCAGTGCATTCGTATATAGCGGGATGCATCTGCTTGTTCCCGACATGAAGCTGCAGGAGTATGTTTCGACCGCTGCTTCATCTGCAGTCTTGATACGGGATTATCGAGACAGCATCGACAGAGGGCAGGACCTTGTCGAAAACAAGATTTTGTCCGATGCATAGACTTGTCTATCGCCATTCATAATGGTCCGTTGGCGAATTTTCTCCTTGTCACGAACAATTTGTATATTTTCATCGTCATCTTTTGATGTTTAATGAATTTTTATCTTTTTTATTTTAATTTTTCATTCTTTTTAAGTTTTAATCACATGACTGTTCCTGACACTTACATAATAAATGTATTCATCACGTGATGGATTCAAAAGCCGAAAAAGAAACAAAAAAAAAGTCGAAAAATCATCAAAAAAAAAAAAAAAAACAACCAAAAACTTCTTGATATTATTATTGTTATTGTAGATTCCATTCATTCATTGTTGCATTTTATTCGTGTATTTGTATTTGTACTATCGCTTTCTTTGTCCCTGTTACTGGCTCCGGAGCGGCTTTTAGCCAGCGCATCCACCGAGGCACAACGTAGCCACATCTACCAAAACCTCATACCTTGTGCAGCAACTATAAACTACTATACAAATTTATGCAGAGAGCGGACGGCAGTTCATAATGGACTGAGGGCATACAGAGACAGATAACTTGCATTTTTAATTGGATATTAATTTGGCAAGGCTTCAAACAGGAAACACAGCAACACCGAAGCTATGGATGGGCTTTTTACGCTCGTGTGTCTAAGTCTCCTGATGGGAGCAGCGTGAGTCCTGATATTGCCCCTTGAGTGGACCACAAGATCATAGACTGATGTTTTGACGGTGCCGGGATAGGTCGTTTATCGTTGGATCGCTGCCATTGACCTTTTCTTTATCCTCGTCTCAGCTCCGGCTCATGTCTGTGCTTGGAATGGGCCTGTTAGTCGGGACGTCTTTGATTGTGATTATCCCCGAAGGAGTCGAGACGTTATATAGCTCTCGTGTGAACCCGAGTCAGCAGGGACCTGAATCTGGGCACCGAAGGAGGGATGTGTTAGAACATGGCGTTGAGGTTCGATGGAACTACAGGGCGGAAGTAGTACCTGTTCCTCGATCTATAAACGGACACCGTATTGAGGATGAGGCGAATTGGCGTTTGTCTGGACGGGAGGAGGCGGCTCCTGAAGCGGACAAACCACAGCCTGACGCTCCTGTGGATGGAGATGGTAGTGGCGGCAAGAGGAAGAAGGAGGGTAAGGCGGATGACGGGGACAAGAATAAGCCGGATGGACATCATGATGACGACAAGCATGAGCATGGCCATAAGCACGAACATGAAGATAGTGGACCACATGCTTGGATTGGTGTCGGGCTCATTAGTGGATTTATACTAATGTATTTGGTTGACAAGTTGCCGCAATATGCGTCTTCGTCTTCCAAGCAGCAACAGAGACCATACCATATCTCCTTGGATAACCTGGGAACGGGCATAGGTCGAGGCATATCGCCTGCACGAACGAGTGGCGGCGGCTCACGATCCGGCAGCAGCAGTGCGGGCATGGCTACGACGGCTGGATTGGTGATACATGCGGCGGCAGACGGCATTGCACTAGGAGCGTCCACGTCCAACATGAGCCTGAGTCTGATCATTTTCGTGGCGATTATGGTACATAAGGCGCCCGCATCCTTTGGCCTGACTTCAGTCTTGCTCAAGCAGGGTCATACAACCAAGAGCGCCAGGGCACATCTGCTGGTGTTCAGTCTTGCTGCGCCGGTGGGAGCGCTGTTGACGTGGGTTGTTGCACATACCATACTTGCAGGCCACGCCAGTGACGAGCAGAGCACCCGGTGGAGGACAGGAATGCTCTTGTTGTTCTCTGCCGGAACATTCTTGTAAGTCATACACCGTCCTTTAATAAAGAAGGATTGCTTCCCGGACGATGACGGCAGTGGTGACGACATTTTTTTTTTTTTTACTGACCGGCGCATGCAGGTATGTTGCCATGCATACGATGCAGGAGAATCCCCTCGAGCCAGCCCGTCGAGAATCTCATGCAAACGGCTATGTCGATGGGCGGGACCCACCGCAACGGCCTAAGCAGTCGATGAGAGACCTCGTTGCGTCTGTCGTTGGGATGGTGCTGCCGCTGTTCCTGCAAGTCGGCCATGCCCATTGACCCCTGACCTGTATATTTTTCTATCACCAACCTATCTCCAACGTCACAACGTCTATCAGCACCTATCAGCATCTAGACTACAGCTTCTACATCTACTCAACTGGATATACTTTCTCACGACGAATGACACTCATAGAAGAACAGAAACTACGGAGTACATTATCAACCGCAACTACTTTGCTTCTTGTATATACATTATAAAACAACCGCCCATGTGACGAGATTATTTCATCCAGGCCAGCTGATCGATCGGCTGAAAGGTCTTCGCTTCCTCCGGGGAAACGAGAGAAAAAAAAGGATGAGAGACACCAAACCAGGGGCCCCTGAAGCTGGAAGTCTAGTTCAGTTGTACCTCGAGGATCGCCCTGCATGCTGGGACCGGCCTCGTAGCGCCCCAGATAACTCCAGACGCCGGATAGATCAAGTAGCCAGCCACTCGATACAGGACTAGACGGTGTCAGACTGCTCGTCTGCTCGTCCGCTTGACCGTCTCTGCCCTACGCCTAAGCGCTGGGCCTCGCTGGGCTGGTTGATACATCCAAAGGCCCCGTCCGGTACTTCATGCTTCATCTGCAGCCCCCAGCGCCACCGCGATCACCAGAAAAACTAACCCAAGCCACCAACCCCAGAGCCTGAAGGGCAACATTCGCTGTGACTGACTGACGGGGACTGACCTGTCGACCAAACCTCGAATCCCACCCTCAGATCCTGCCTGCTTGCGTCGTGTCGAGGCATGAGAGAGTAACGCTGGCCGACGGACCGTCAACCGCAACCCATCCCGGCCTTTTTCCGTCTGCACAGTCGCTGGCGAGCTTTGAGGTCACCTTTCCGCCACTCGACCATCCTCCTCCTACGCCTCTCCTCTATACACCGAGTCAATTTTCAACTACCTGAGAAGACCACGGCATGTCGGCAGGCCTGGCTGCTGCAAAGGACTCTGCTTATTCGGCCCCGATCTGAAAAAGTTGTTTCGAGAAACATAGCTGCGTCGGCTCAAAGGGTTCTCTCAGCGCATGACATCTCCAGTCCGTATATAAAAAAAAAAAAAAAAAAAAAAAGGACGACTGTTTGGGACCCATCTACAACCTCTATATATATATATATATATAACCGCTTCCCAGATGTTCCCTAGACCTGGATCAAGCAGCCTGGGAAACCGGCGACCCGTCTCTATGATAGAAGCAGATGATCTGGCATCGCAGGGAGAATTCAGCAGCGGCACCAGCAGCAACAGCACCAGCAACAGCAGCAAAAGCCATCATCCACCTCGTTCGACCGTACGACGACACTCAGGAACTATGCGACCCAGCTCGGCTTCTCGAACAAAACCTCTCTCGACGCCCAGCAAGGCTCGTCCGACTCTACATAACCTGCACCCTTCAGCTCCTGCGTCTCCTCCTACTCCCGCACCAAGTCCGACGCCGCACCAGCGAGTGCCCAGCTGGCAGAGCGCCGGCGAAGACGAAGATACCTTCCTGCGAGATGCGAGGTCACATTTCAGCGTGCTAGGCCAGGCGGAGAAGCAGAGGTTTCTGGCAGAGGTGCTAAACCTGTGTGATAGCCAGCTGCTCAGCTTCGTGCATCATTTCGTGAGCCCGCGGCTGAAGAAGGACCCTTTTGAAACCCTGCCGAACGAGCTATGCCTGAGGGTGAGATCCGACCTGATACTATCTAGTAACCGGAGCCTGGTCCGACTAACTGACTGTGAATAGGTACTTTCGTTTGTTGACGATCCCAAGACGCTGTCGAGGGCGTCCCAAGTGTCGACTCGCTGGCACGAACTGCTCAACGATGAGCTGACATGGAAGATACTCTGTGAGAAACATGCTTATAGAAGAGTTTCTGAAGATCTCATCGATAGTCCCGTCAGCCCTTCCTCTACCCTCTCTCCCTCTAGACAACCCTTATCCTCCTTGGACACAGATATGGAATCCGAATCATGTCCTCCCCAACCTCAAATATTACCGGAAGACATGAAAGTATTTGCTCCGGCAGCAGAGTCCTCGAGCAGAAGCCGGGTCCGCAAGGCCCGACCAAAGGCGACCTCCTACCGCTCGCATTTCAAACAAAAGTATATGATCGAGGCGGCATGGAGAAAAGGTGGCACCGTCGTGACGAAGAATATCACTACTGACCAGGGAGTGGTGACCAGTTTGCATCTGACTCCCAAGTATATAGTTGTTGCACTCGACAACGCAAAGATACATATATTCAATACCGAGGGCGAGCATCAGAGGGTTCTACAGGGACATATGATAGGTGTCTGGGCCATGGTGCCGTGGGACGACCTGCTTGTTAGCGGAGGATGTGATCGAGACGTGCGTGTTTGGAACATGGCTACAGGGTGAGTCTACTGTCATTCGACTCTCTGGAAAAGACGCCAGTTTCTAACTCATTACCCCAGGGAGAGTATTCATAAGCTGCGAGGGCACACTTCTACCGTCCGCTGCTTGAAGATGTCGAACAAGACGACTGCCATCTCCGGCTCGCGAGATACGACTCTCCGTATCTGGGATCTAGCTACGGGAGTATGCAAGAACATCCTCGTTGGTCATCAGGCAAGTGTACGGTGTCTCGAGATCCACGGCGACTTGGTTGTCTCCGGAAGCTACGATACCACAGCCAGAATCTGGAGCATCTCAGGAGGCAAGTGTCTCAAGACGCTTGCCGGGCATTTCAGCCAGATCTATGCCATCGCCTTTGACGGCAAACGCATAGCTACCGGCAGTCTTGACACCAGCGTACGCATCTGGGACCCCCACACCGGCCAGTGCCATGCCATCCTGCAAGGCCACACCTCTCTCGTCGGCCAGCTACAGCTTCGTGGGGATACCCTGGTGACGGGTGGCTCCGACGGATCCATCCGTGTCTGGTCCCTCGAGCGTATGACCCCGATCCACCGCCTGGCGGCCCACGACAACAGCATCACCAGTCTGCAGTTCGACGACAACCGGATTGTCAGCGGCGGTAGTGACGGCCGGGTCAAGACATGGGATCTCAAGACTGGCCAGCAGGTCCGCGAGCTCAGCCAGCCCGCCGACACCATCTGGCGTATCGCCTTTGAAGCCGAAAAGGCCGTCATCCTCGCTACCCGTGCTGGCAAGACGACCATGGAGGTGAGACTTAACCCCTTGTTAACCGATCAATCATCTACGACATCCATCTAACCGTCTCTAGGTATGGTCCTTTTCTCCTCCAGACGACACATTTATAGACAGATCCGCCTGTCCCAGCCCGGACACAACGCTCGAGGCTTCGACGACCTCCATATCCACGACAGAGTCCATGTCCTCTGAAACAGAGCCGTCTCATATGATGGAGTACGAGATGCAGGATCTAAAAATGAACGGATGTAGCTGATATTTGGTGTCTTTTTGCTTGTTTTTTTCTCATCATTTCATAGATAGCTTTCTACCCGTTTGTCCCCTTGGTTATCATTTTCATATACCCATCATCATCGCCGCCGCCGCCGCCTCCATCGAGTCTGAACATGTCACTTAGAGATGGGAAATATATAGTCTTAACTTTGATTATACTTGTAAATGCACAATATGGCCAACTCTCGCTGCTTAGGCCGTCGTCGTAGTTTTACTACTTGGTTAGCGGCGAACTTTGCGATTAGATTATTTGCGCCACAAGAAGCTCACAACTTCTCACACTCCAACTTTTTGCCAGCAACAAGCAAGCATCTTCGCCCGCGCGACACTCGCATCACCAGCCGCCGCAGCACCAGGACTGTCTGTTCTGTCTACTCCGTCCTGTCGAGCGTTCCAAGACCGATTTCGGCCTGCGTGCCAGCTCACTGATATCCTGGACCCCTAGTGAGCATCCTTTTGCGGACTCTTGCTCCCAGCCCAGCACACGCTACCATCAAGAATCCCCCAGTCGAACAGCCTGCAAAAGGGCATCCAAACACCTCCGAGAGCCCATCTATCCGCCGTCTGCATACATTGATACCAGCTGCTAATGCGATAATGGCCAGCGAGCCGGATTCCAACCTCCATGCTAACCCGCAGAACGCGTCGATGCCACCGCACCCGAACCCCCCCAGCATCGAAGCAGCCTACAAGCGCAAATGCATCGCGCTGAAGAAAAGACTGAACGAGGTCGAGACTCACAATGAAGCGATGCGCCTGCGGAATGCGCAGGGAATCAGATATATACAGAAAATGCGCCTGGAGTCGTGCATGATCCTGGAACGGCTCTCCGTGCTCATGGGCATGGCTGACGGCAGCGGCAGACAGGGAGAACCAGAGGCTGCGGGGCGTGCGATGGCGCTAATGAGGGAGTCTGGCCATGTGCTAGATGAAGAGCGCTCGAGGGCCGGGCAGAAGCGACCTGGAGAGGACCTGGATGCGTTGGGCGAGGAGAGCGATGGTAGCTCTGGTCACCACCCGCCTACAGTAAGATGCAGCTGCTTCCTCCCCCTTTCTTTTGACGGAGGACAGACAGGTACATCGGAGCAGTTACTGACAATGCTGCGTGGATGCGCCAGCCACAGGAACGCCCTCTACGACCAAAACGAAGCCGCAAGAGTGACGAGAGGCCTGCGGGCCACGGCGCTGGCGATAGTACCAATATCAACGATGCCGGCAATAGCAATAACAACATGGACTCAGTTAGCACAACCTTTCCTATTTCAAGCTACCCTCCGTCTACATACTCAACGCCCTTGCAACATGAACCCTCTATCCTTCCCCTTCCACATGTGACACCAGGCCCCGGTTACCGCGGCCCTCCGCTCCCTCGTACACCCATTCCTACTCCTCTACCTTATCCTCATCTTTCTTTTCAATCAGCTCTAGGGCATTACCAGTTCAATTTTCCATATCCACAAGAATATCTGGACGCAATTGAACAGCATGGCAATCACTCTGGACCTCCATTAACCCCCATCAACACGTATACCCCGACTTATACCCCGGCTATAACTCCTCCTAGACCAGCATCCTCTTATAACAGCAATACCACTCCAACTCCAACTACCCAAGAATATACACCAGTTCATCGACCAACTGACTCATACACTATGCAGGTTGACCACCACCATACCAGCAGTGCGAACCCATCCGCCAACGATCTCAGCAGCTTCCCCCCTGCCACTTCGGGACGAGAACCCCCTCATCGATATGTATCTGCCTTTGAGGCCTTTACTAATTATAAGAGAGCCAGCTTAACCGAAGCATTGGTCCGGTCATACGGTCAGAGAGTTACTGACGAGGACATTGACCGTGCTTTGGTCAAAGAGTGGGATGCTCTGGACCCAGCTAAGAAGCGGGAATTCGGCGAAAGACTTGAAAAGGAGAACGGCGTCTAATGATTGTTCTTTTTCTTTTCTTTTTTTTTTCCCCTCTCTTCCTTTTTTTTCATTACTTTTGTTCTTAATATAACCGGCTAGGGTCTGGGACGTGTCTCCTTGTTTATGGTTTGTTATTATCATTCTTCTTTGTTGGACGGGACTATTTATCAAACTTGACAGCGCCTCCCCCCTCCCCTTCCCCCCTCTCAATACCTAACTTTCTCACTCTTTATCGGCGTCTTCGGTGCCTGGCAGTTACAACTTCGGCGTGGGTCAATCGGAGTATTACTTCACTTCATCGTAATAGACAGTGGACTAACTGTTTACACATTCCATTCATTACCTTCGTTTCCCCCTATTAAGAATGAAAATTCCATAAAAGCATACTACCATACACAACCGAGGGAATAATTAATAAAATCAACAGCCATCAGAGGCTACTGCGTCCAGATTGCCGACTGGCGTTGCTGAACGTGACCTATGAACTTTAGGGCCATCTCAGCAGCCTCAGGACAAGGAGAGGAGCAGATTGGAAAATTGCCTTAGTACATAGTATATCTTCGATTCTTCAACACGACTCCGGGCAAGGATTCCAATACACAGGCAACGTGAAATGGCGCTCGCAAGGCCAAAATGGGCGAGCCATTATTGCCGCGCTCGGACACATAATGAACATACACCCTCATACACTCATCGAGACTGTCTATCCATTGCGTCAGTCTGTCACGATCACCTAAGGCCGGATCATGAACAATGCTGCAAGTGATAAGGGCATCTATTTGCCCGGGAACAGGTTCTGGTCCGGACTCCTGAGGATCTATCGGTAGATCGTTATCGTATGGGGGAATGCCGATTTTTATGGGTAAAGACCCAGCAAGAAACTTGTGTATTGGTTTGTATATGCCCTCTTCCTCTTGCGCTACACCAAGAAGGGTAGCAAAATTCATATCTCTGAAACCCTGTAATTCCCACTGCGTTAGAGCTCTGGCTATCCTTGATGTGAATGTGTTTGTGATAGAGGCAGATCTTCTGGGTTCAATAACAGTCACGGGATAACTATCGTGGCTATACCCAAGGGGCGCAAGAAGCTCAATCGTCTGGCCTGGTTTTGGTTGGACAATGGGAGTAATGGATGGAGAACAGTATGAATCAAGAATCAAAACAACGTCGAAGGCCGGTCCATCGATTTCGGCAAAGGTCAAGATAGGGTGTAGAAGGGATCGAAGGTAGAATCGGTGCGAAGAGTCTTCAGTAGGGTAGAAGTATTGTCCTCGCTCTGGTTCATAGAGTCCATTACCAGCATAGTGAATGATAATAAGGTGTGTTCCATCTTTTTGGGCCGCAAAGCTATTCTTCATGCAGCATGCGATCTCCCATTCAACATACATGCTAGGGACCGCAAACGCGCTAGAAATCTCGGACTCGTGTACATCGTCAACACCGAGTATTCTGGCAACATCTTTGAAATGAAACGCATCTATCATTGCATTGGTATCATCATCCTCCCATCTGATTGTTATGGCGCACTTATTACTGTAGACGCGTCGACGCTGCTCGAAACATTGGCGGATTTTCGCCTCTATTTCGGCACAGGTCGTTCGCTGTTTCGGTTCCATTGTGCTCCTAGATCAAGAGGAAAACACAGCATGTCAAAGAGATGAATATTATGAGGTTGTCAAGAGTATGATACTATTCGTCTAGTATGGAGGAAGAAAAGGAAAGAAGAGGGAGAAGGCCAGGAAGCGAGATATTTATACTCATCTCTAAGCTGGCAAGATCACTCTTTCCTACAACGAGTCGATGACGCTATTGACTTCTGTCAGGATATGTAACTTAGTCAGCTTGCGCCCATATATTGGTTGTATGGCGCTGGAAATATTTGTGCAAAAACAAGGTTCCTGATCCGAGTTATTATCAATAACTTCTGTGGATAAACAAGTTTGATGTTTGTTCTTCCTTCCTCTTTCAGCAGTGATCTATATCGCGCTTAGTCCACGTTGTGGCGTTTATTAGCGTCTTTAACTCGCTTTACGCTAGTCTTAATCTGGAAACTTAGACGCCGCACCCGATATGCCAAGATAAAATCCACACTAACTGTATTTGTCATGACAGTCACGTGGATAATAACGCTTATATAATCATTATCGACTGTCTCGTTTCTTTCGACGCCTCAGATTTATATTTCAAGTTGAGCTTGTTTCAATAGATATTTATGTTCAATTTGAAATTCCCCTACCATAATAATATATATAGTCTCAGGCCTACTCCGTACGTTTATCATTATTCGTGAACCATGCTCCGTAATCGCAACGCCAAATATCCAACAAAACCCCTGCGCCCACTGCTGGGTATTTATACAGTCCTTCAACCTATATTACCATCAAGAATATATAAACGGTCGTTGTATCGCATTTACCGAAGGCCGAAAAATTGTGGTGACCCCACTACTCGCTCCTCCATTGATTGTGATATTAGCTTGCCCTCCGACTTTTCATATAACAGAACCTCTTTCAGGCCTTTCTGTCTGAGGACATACTTCCTGAAAACATACACGATCTGTTTCAGCGCCCAGCGGGCATGTACCTTGGTGGGGACGGAAAAAACCTGATCCAGTTCTTCAAGGGTCTTACCCTTGGTTTCGGGCATGAAGAGCAATATGAGGACAAACCCTATGAGATTCCAGGCTGCATACCATCCAAATGCGCCTTGCGGGGTGAATGCTCGTAATAGGCTAGGCCATGTTATTGCAAGGGTGAAGTTAAAAAACCATGTCGTTGCAGTTGCCAATGCCATCCCGTACGATCGTACATACAGTGGGTATGCTTCTGCAGAGTAAGTGAATGGTACCGGGCCTTCTCCGGGAGAATACACAATGCCGAAAAGGTATATACCCAGCGCAACACACCCTGTTTGGGCAGCATGGTCAGGAATCCAAAATGCAAAGCCTGTGAGGAGCAGAAAGAGTCCCATCAAGGGAAATGTCACAAGGAGAAGGTTTCGTCGGCCAAAGGTATCGATCGTGTATACGGCAGGGATGGCAAAGAGCCAGTTGATTACCCCGAAGCCGAGCGATGCGGCAAGGGCGGACAGTTCCGAGTATCCCGCTTGTAAGAAGACTTCCGAGGAGTAGTATGCAATCACATTAACGCCGCAGAACTATGCATGAAAAATGACGTCAGTACAGCGCAGGTAATCCCAAAAGGGGCAGGAGATATGTGCATCGTATACGCACCTGTTGCATGAACATCACAATTTCAGATGCGACCAAGGCTCTCCTGTTCCGCGGAACGGTGATAAGTTCCAAGATCTTTGGCTGGCCAAGTTTCATCATTGATTCTGCCTCGAGCAAAGTATGCATATAAAATAGATCGCGGGCGGCTTGGACTTTGTTGAACCGAAGCCGACACATCGATTGATATGCTTTATGATGGGCTCCCTTACTCATATACCAGCGAGGAGATTCCGGGCAGATAAACACCATACAACAGACTAGGATAGCAGGAAACATGGCTGAACCCATCATCAATCGCCAGCCTAACCCCGTAACATTTGGGATGTCTGGGACATTGAAGAAAATGAGATCCGAAGCATAACCCATCATAATACCAAATGCAGTCCACATCTGCCACTGCATGACCAAAGCACCTCGAATGGCAGGGGGACTAGTCTCAGCTGCATATATGGGGACTGTTGCTGATTTGGGGCCGATACCGAACCCCAATGCGAAACGCGCGATGAACATATGCCACCATGTATTGACAAAGCCTTGCCAAAAACAGGCTAAGGTGGAAAAGCAGCAGGTAATGAAAATTGTTCCTCGCCGACCAAACCAGTGGTTAAAAGGGACGGTCAACCAACAGCCGATTAACGCACAACATAGATATGGTGCAGCGTTTATCAGCCCGGCAAGCCACGTTGATCTGAAGTTGTCGTCATCGATGCCAAACTGTGGTTTGTAAAATATCTGAGCGCCATTGACCACTGTTTCGTCTGGTTGAATAGTTAGCCATCGGATTTCTCCTTTCCATGGTAAGTATGGAAAGCTTACCCATTCCCTGAACAGCAGCAGATATCGAGCACAGCACAATAACCAAATACATCTCCTTTGGCTGTGACCAGCGATTCGTGAACTCATTTCGCAGGACGTCCAGTTCCTCCTTCGTCAGCCCTTCAACCTTCTCAAACTGCTCAGGATCTTGCGCCAGGACAGCACCAAGTTCAAATGCCCGAACATCATCGTCGTCTCCAATTTGATATTTCTGGGCATATCGGCCTCCCCGGCTTCTCAAGGTTGCATGGCTAAGTCCAGCGAGAGGGTTGGCAAGCTTTGCGTTCAAATTGCGTCTCGCCCGTTCGGCGGCTGTCAAGGATTCTCTCCTTGAGGTAAAGGAGTTGAGCCGCTCAGTGTGATGGTCCGATGCTGTCGCTGCTGACTCTTTCGTATTCGAACTCTGCAGCTCATCAGATGAACGACTGGAAGTAGATCCGATGATCTCGCGGGGTATCATCGTCTCGGCTGTCCCGAAGGACGTACACACAGCTGTGCCCGCTAGATAAGGTAGGAATAGGTAGAAAGAGCGCCAGGTATACCGTTATCAATAGAATGACAACCACATCAGAGTACTATCCGTATGAAACGATAGGCTTTGGTGCGGTTGAAATGGTCGAGATAAGGAAAAAGACAAGAGCATTCAATACTGTTGAAGAGATAAAGGGGGAGGAAATGCGCATAAATAAGAAACAGATTTGATAGCGGCCTATCTTCAGGTACTTGAAGGCCCTTTTAATAAAAGGCTATATATAATCCTGGCTTCCCAATCTACTGTAGTTCCCAAGCAACCGGGTTATTATCATCAAATGCGGTATCAGGTCATTACCGACTGGCCATGGATGAGCGAGCTTAGGGGCGAATGAGGCGTATTCAATTACTCTCTTTCCGGCAAACCAGCTGCTGACCGGCAGTTATATTGATATTGATCTGGTTGGACGGCGAGGCACCACAGCAAGGCGCATAGTATTGATAGGTGTGGTCCCTCTCTGCCGAACGAATAGATCTGGGCTTTTTTGGCCCCAGATCTTCTCTATGCTCTTTGCTTTTCGCCCCGTGCGTTCCCTTGTTCTTATTTACTCATGCGCGGTTTTCTTTTTAGCCTCTTGACGGCGGTGGGGAGTTGGATGGTTGAACAAAGGATATACGAGATGCTAGCTCTCGAGCGATGCCAGAACCGGCGACGAGGAGGTGAAAGAGAGCTCGTCACGCTGGCTGGCCGGGCGGAAGAGGGTATAATAGCCACTGGCTGCCTCGTCTCGTTTCTTTGATCAATGAGAGCAGCCCGAGGGAGTAAAATAGTTAATAGCAACTCTCGGTGTGCTGCAGCAGCGGGAGAAAAGAGGACTTCGAAGCCGTATATATATTACCAACTGCCACTGGCTGCGCGAGGAAATGCCATTTTGAGAGCACCCATCACGATGTAACACATATATTGTCGTATTTATATCGAGCTCTCAGCCCTGGAATACCGGTGTAGACCATTCAGCTGCACCCTTGGTGACATGCATCGTTGGACACTCTGGCGGAGGCTGAGCAGCACCCACCAGCCTGGCGAGGCTAGAGAGCCGAACTCTGTCAAATCCAGGCGTCCAGGGTGATAGAGCAGGCAGACGACCATGAACCCTGCATCGATTAGCAACATGTCATGCATATCTGCCGTTGGCAGTGCTGTCGGTGCGGTTGTGTCTGATATTAAGGGAGAGATGAGGTCGAAAAGCCGCCGCGGCAGATGGAGGACGATACGATAACTCTCCGCCAGGGATTTCGGCGGTGGGAGGGATAAAGGAAGGTTCTGTGTAAGATGTATTATATCCTGTTATTGAATAATAATATTATTATATTTATGATGCAGGAGTGAGTGTTATAAATAGCAGGTCTCCGATGCATGGCGGGCATACCATGCACGAGGAATAAAGCCAATATCTTATTAACAACGAATGTCCTCCATCTCTGCAAGAGACAGTTCTCTATATCCATCTCGACGGCGTATTTACATAACTATATACAAAAAAAAAAAAAAAGGGCAAAAAGATGCAAAAGGGAGCCGGGGGAAACATCCACAGTTGCAATCAAAACTGCAAGGAAGATTAGGGGATGATAAAAGTGTGCAAGAAGTGTATGTCAGTCAGGTTCGAGAGAGATTACCGTATATGCATGCAGAAATCGCCTCAGGAGCTTCCAGGGTTCGGCAGGAATGCTCCACCATTGATATTAAACCCGGCATGAGCAAATAGGTTCTCCCACGTTCCAGTATTGCTGAAGGGTGTAACATTCTGAGCGTTGGTAGGAGTGTAGTTGTCGTAGCCGTCGTTACTGTCGCTGCTGTTCGGGGCGTTTCCAGCAGGGCCAGAACTTGACGTCACTGGTATCCCTGACGCAGATGCTGTCCCACCGCTCCCCATCATAGTGCCCGTGTTATTGCTGTTGGCTTGGTGGGTCGACGATGGGTGAAGACTTGGGGAAGCAAATATTCTGCCCGAGCTCATCATGCCGCTATTTATGGACCCGCTGATAGTGCACTCGATGTTCGATGGCGGGAGTAGAGGTCGTGCACATGCAAGTAGTTGCTGGTTATGATCAGGGTGGATCAAGGGGAGAGTCTGCTGGTCGTGGTGCGGGTTATGCAGTGGGTCATTTAGCGGCATATGCATGGGTATCGGCGGTGGAGTGTTTGAGGACGAGAATAGGTCGTTTTGAAGGTGCGATGTCACCTGGAGATGGTGGTTAAGAGGTGTGAGATGCTGTTGTTGCGGCTGCTGTGGCTGGCTGAGCCCGTCCTCCTGCTGTTGCTGCTGCTGCTGCTGCTGCTGCTGCTGCTGCTGTTGGGACGTTTGAAAGGGCGACGGAAGAGACGTCTGATGAAGTGGTGGTACAGCTATCGGTGAGAGATTTACTTGCGTTTTGGCATCTGCGCCGCTTGTAGTCTCCTGCATCAAATCACAGAGCTCTTTCGAAGCCGGTCGTTTCACAGAAGACGCAGGGGAGACCCTGGAGGCTCGGTACTGTGCAACCACATTCGCGAGGAACTGACTCTGGTAGTGACAGCTAGTGTTGTCTGTCGGCGATTGTCGGCCAAAATACTCACTTGCCTCCAGTATATAGTCGAGTACTTTACTCTCCGCTTCGCTTGGGAGCTCTCCGGGGAATGATAGGAGGATCTAAAGCAGAACGGTGAGCAACGCCAGTCACAACATGGGGTGTACATAGATCTTTTAAGTCCACCAACCTTTACAATGGCGACAGCAGCGTATGCAACCATCACATGAATTGAATCCTGGCAATAATATAAATAGGAAGTTGCCCCAAGGCGATCTATAATTAACCGGACCATTTCTAACGAGCTCGCGTAGCACACCCATAGCGCAGGCTTAGAAGCAGACCCGTTGGCGATGGATAGCTGTAATTGAAAGGAATGGAGCAATAATCTCAAATGATAGCCGTAAAATCGAACAAGGAATCGCTGGGCAAGAGTCGCGTCGGCTTCAAAGTACGTTAGCTTCGATCCCAGGTAGTCAGGAGGTAAATTGAAATGAGTCTCACCTTCATCTACGATCAAATGCCATCGGGCCTCCCATCTGTCCAGCTCATTATTGCATAACCGAAGTATAAATTCATCCTTTTTCATAAACTCTGGTGATGTATGGAGTGGATCAAGCCAGAAAAGATCTAGTAGCTCGAAGCCGATTATGCGTAGCTGCGTCAGGGCCGTGACCATCTCATCAATTCCAGGGGTGGCATATGCATGCTGGTGCCAATTCTGTACGTTTCGGATCAGAGGGTCCATGGTAATCATTGATGGCATGCCCAGCTGGAGACTTAGACTATATATACGGTGCACTTAGTATGGGGACGGGTAGAACAGAAAGGGAGCAGTAAACATAGGAGGGATAGTTGCGCACCTCCTATCATAGATGAACAGCACGAGCCAGGTGCGTTCCTTGCTGCGTTGTTCCCGCAACTCCATTTCCTCCTCAAAGCCAGAAACAAGCTGCATTGGTTTATCTAGAATAGATGGCTTAAGTTTATTCAAGCCTAATTCTAAACCTCCCCTAATGGCATATCCGATAAACATCCACGCACGCGTGTCGTTGGATTCCTTCCAATGTGTCAAAAGGCAGACGCCCTGGATTATCTCTAGAGACTTCTCGCCCGAGCCCATGATATTGTGAAGGAGCTTCTCGCTATGTTCGTGTAGTTTGGCATATATAGCCGGACAGAAAACCTTTGCAGCGACACTAAGGAGGGCGGTGAATAGGAACGGCGACCGATTCCGAACATATCGTACCGTGTGGAGGACAGGATCGAATTGGCATATGAAGGGTTCATGTATTTGAAAAAACTGTAACCATACGTACGCTTATGTTAGATCTTAGATCTCTAACTGCATCCACTACATCAAGTCTTGCATGGGCGGAGGAATGAAGGGAGCCTACCTATCGAAAAGCCCTTGAGCTATAGGGAGGTTGATCAAATTTTGGAGTACCGGATCGTTCTGGTCGATGGGGGCATCGTTTGCCAAACAATCTTTCCAACGAGACGGCTCCTCGACCGGGCTTTCATTTTCAGCATTCAAGATATTTGCAATCGAGAAGTTTCCGGGGGTAGATGACTTCTTCAGCAAGGCAAAGGGTGCAAGGCTATCCGAAAGAGGGTGCGTTAACTGGGCTATAGAAGCCAGCTTCGTAGGTAGTGGGTTCTCGGAGGTGATGGCGGGCTGTATTGGTTTATCGGGCAGGTCTGGGGAACTAAAGCTGGTATCCGACTTTATTCGTTTTGGAGAGCGTGTGTCTATTGAAGACCGGATGACTTCTTCTGGTGTCACGGCAGGGCTGGTGTCTGGTGGCGGCGCGCTCGAGATCAAGGCAGGGAGCCCGGCAGCTTTTAACCGTTCAGCTTTGGGCCGGAGTCTGCATAGTTAGTGTTGTTACAGCGGTTAGCGATTCGCTTGTTCTTCCGACCCAGCAAAAAAAAAAAAGAACAATGCGCACCATCAATCGCAGTTGAAGGGACAGAACTGAACTCTCATTAAGCAGGAGTCAAGATAACACTCACTTTGTGCCCGGTTTGCGACCGCGCCGATGGGATTCGTAGAAACAGCTTAATGACTTGCGCTTGCATCGATTGCAGGACGCCGAGTCTGGATCTCGCGTGCACTTCATCTTCACGGTGCGGCATGGCGTGCATGCCGCGGTTGCGGCCGCGGACGGATTACCGGAAGCCATGGTGCGCTGCAAACGCCCGGGAAAGACAGGTGTCTATGCGGAGTAGATTCGAATCTATCAGGCCAAAAAATCGTCTGTTCACCTGGCCCTTGTATCCGCCATCCTCCCATGGGAAAAACGGGCGCACAACCCTCCCTCCTCCCCACGACTGTTGTCGAACCGAGAGAGAATCTTCTTGGTTGAAAAAGAATGTGTACGACGTTGGCGTTGAGAGTAGGGGAAGCCGTCTGCCGTTTTCTTGCTGGACAGTTGGGAAAAAACGTGAAAGCCGGCGGTGTCTGGCAGTTCTGGAATAGTTATGGATACGAGCGCCCCGGATCTCCACGGTGGTAAGTGTATTTTTAAGTGCGGAGTAGACCTGTAGTGCAGTCAAAGGTGCCTTAGGGCCTCAGTGATGCTGGTTTTACACTCTGTTGGAGCCGATTGTCCAGACGACCGAGAGTGTCGCGTCCACGTTTGATGAGATTTCGCTCAGCAAGGTCAACGCGATACGACGATTTAGGGCGACCAAAGCGAGGGAGCGTCGCATGGCACTCCCCGCAGATATAAAGGCATCGACCTGGAATCAGCTCACATGATGGGCCGGGGTGTGAATTGATGGCAGCCAAACAATTTCCAGCATTGGTCAGGAATTATGTTATCCGTTGCGAGAATGCCTAAATTAAACATTGCACATCTTTCTCGGTTGGGGCCGCGTACTTCTGATCTAGCGGCCTTCGTCGGCTAGGTCAAGGTGCCTGGGATTGTCCTGGCATGCCCCAGGAAGCCCTAGGAGGGCCTGGGGTGCTCCGCGAGGGCCTTGGGGGTGCAGCAGCCCAACTGCCTAAGCAAGCCTCATAGCCCGGCTCGGCTTGGCGGGTTAGAGAATGCCGCCGCATCGCTGGACGATAGGGGGTACCCGGAGGAGGAGTGTTGGAGTGGGTATAACTACCCAGGTCAGAGTAGCATTGCATTTGACGGAACCGGGCCCGACAGGGTGTGCGAGTCGCCATTTATTCGTTGGCGTTCTGAAACGCAGCACATCTCCGCAGACTCTTCAACACTCACGGTCAAGCATTTGTCTCGTAACGGCCATGCCGGCTCCGCCCAAAGTATGGCATCATGTTGAGATTGTGCTTATTCCTGGCAGAGCGCGATACCCTAGTAGCAAGTACCGGTGCTTGACTGACGCCATAGGATAGTGCAACCTCACGTTTGAAGTCTGTCTGGAGCGTGCAGGTGCAGGCAAATCGGCTCCGTCCCTTGTCGATGACCGGGGGGGTGACGGGCTGACCCCTGGATTTAGTTAGTTGGATAATATAACACAAATGTCCAGATGAAGGTTGGAGGATCAAAAAGTATCAGTGCAATCTTGGTCAGACCTTACGAGGGCCCTCTGTGGGTGGCGTAGCTCAGCGGGCTCTCGTACCTATTATCCTGTATCTGTGTGAGGCAGCGAAAGTTCTTCTCCCCAAACGCGGCGTGATTCCATCCTCTCTCGTATCTACATCCGCCACTCGGGAATTTTCCGGCCAAGAAGGCAGATCAAGTCCTGCCAACGAGGACAAGAAGAACTGAGTCCCACATCATCCCAGCAATTCTGCTGCAAGCTTGCGTTGTCAGATGTTTTGTCGCGACCAAAGAGAAAAACTTCACCAAATCTTCGGTCGATGTTGTTTTTTACCTAAAAGGGACGAAAGGGGTGAAATAGTCACGTGAATAAAATCTAGTCACATGATATTTGACTAAGCATTACGCCAAGAAGAAGCCAAGTCTGCGTCTCGGTCGGTAGGCGCCGCTTATATGCTTGGCATGTAGCTAATTTTAGCGGATGATCTTTGGCGCAGCCTTATTTACTGTGAAGGAGAAGAGTAGACAATGCCGTTTGCCAGACACTATAGATGATATACCATGGTAGATATAAAGGGCTAGTAGGGATGCGAGAAAATAGCTGCAATATCTTTTCAAGGGGACTCGGCCAGGGCATAGTCTATATCAGGGGCCAACACGATATATATATACGTAATGACATACCCTTGACGGTTAACAGAGTGACTGCCATTATCAGGACCCCTAGCAGTCTCATCCTCCTCAGTTGAAAGAGCTCCTCTAGAATATCTCCGTCATCCGGTAAGGCCAGCGTGTGTTCCAAGGTACTGCAATATCAGGGCGAATCGATGGTAGAACAGAGTATGCAGCGGTCTTCAATAGATTTAACCATTGTCAAATTGACAGCAGCGGATTATTGAAATGATTGGTTAAGGCGCTGAGTTGAACGAATAACCGTGTTGAACTGGTGATAGTGGTGAGCTTGCTAAGGTGTAGTTATATGCAGAATTTGCAGCGCCTATATACGGATGTAAGCTGACTAGGCTACATATTTTGACACCATTTTAACAGGGCTAGGTTGCAGGCTTAGTCCATTATCAGTGGCCCAGAACTCCTGTAAAGCGTTGATAACTTTTTCTCCTTTTGGGGTTTGCAATAGCAGTAGCAGGAAGCTCTCGTTGACTAGAAGGAGATTTTGAATCGGCGTTTTTTTTTTTTTTTTTTTGGGCTCGTTATTCGATTTCTGGTTCTTCTGGTCCTAGGCCATCCCCGAGTAGTTTCAAGACCTTTTCGAGTCGTTGCCTTGTTTCAAATTGAATTTTTTATCTGATCCTTCCTGGTCCGTTGAGCATTTTGGTCCGGAAATCGAGGTTCCACCGGAGTTTCCCTTACAACCATATTTCCTTTTCGAATCATTCAGGCGACGTCGTACCGCTGTTCAACGTATAATGCTTGAACATGTAAGCATTCTTATTGACTTCTGGCCTTCCTGCAGTACCTTAATTATTTGGGAATGCCACGATTTCATAATACTGTGATGCAGTGTTCCATTGATTCCGTATTTCCTTGCAGTCACAGCGCTTGTGGACCCTTTGGATTGTAAATCTTCAATCTCTGCTGCAAGGCACAGAATCGAGTTCTCGACTCTGGGGACTGGTAAGGAGTCGGCATCCACATATTGAAAGCAGGAACCCTATCAAGCCCTAATAAGAGTGCCCAGTGAAGATAGAAGCTAGAGCAAAGGGATGATTGTCTGAGTAGGGGTGCATGCTTGTCTGATGTACTCAAAGTCTAATATTAGAATCTGCTCGCCGTATATAAACTCGTCTTCCTAGCACAATCCGGGCTAAAATAGAACCGTAATAGCTAAACTAGCCTAACTATACCCCTTACGTGGGATAATTGTATCTAGCAATAACTCATTGCCGTCAAGAAATTTCCGACTGGACTCAAGAAATGTACTTTACCAAGGAATTGACAAGGTTAGGTGTCGAACCAGGTTCTTCCCTAAACCCTTCAGCTCTGCCAGGGAGAGTGTCTTCCCTGGTATTGCTCTCTCCTTCCCTTGGCTTAGGATTCACGTTTGTGCTTGGCTAACTAGTGCTAGCGTTTGCCCCTGATCGATTGGTATTTGCGTTTATACTAGACCAATTACTCTTTATATTTATATCAGACCGATTAGTGCTCACGTTTTCCTCGATTGGCAATGGTGTTTGTGCCAGATCGATTGGCGCTCACATTTGCCGCTGGCCGACTGGCAATGGCGTTTGTGCCAGATCGATTGGCACTCACATTTGCCGCTGGCCGACTGGCAATGGTGTTTGTGCCAGATCGATTGGCACTCACGTTTGTGCCGGGCTGTTTTTTCGACCTCTTTTCGATATATAAGGATACACAGCACCGGTTCTATCAAACGTAAGCTTTCAGCCTCTTTCGGTCCGTAATTCTCCGATCTCACTCCACCAAAACACCATTTGACCACACATGCCTTCCATAAGAGGTATCTGGGTCAAAAAGAGAGCGGAGCAGGTCCACCACTACAATATGTAGTATCGTAAGCCCCGATGCTAATGTGGCAACGCAAGTGGTCTTTAGCTAGCATGAACGTGTGATAAGTCGGACTCTTGTCATGACGGCACGCGTGACTCTGGCCGATTCCGCAATCCGCATCGGTGCATCATGCAGGCGTTTGCGGATTCCGAGATGGCGTTTCTGGAATTTCGAACAACGGTCTGCGTGGCCTCCGATTCGCTGCCACCGTATCCCCCTAAGCAAGTTTGAGAATATCGTGGCCTTTCTGGTTCGTTTGGTCGAGCTAAAATGTACTGCAATATCAGGACGAGCAAACGGTTGAACATAGGTAACTTCCAAGTAGGTGCATTTCCGGTTGATGGTTCCTCGAAACCAGATGTCGCTTGCCAAAAAGGCGGTTCCGCGATCCGTATCGGTGCACCTCAAAAACGGTGCTTGGCCAGCTCGGGAATCCAGGTCCATGGCTCCTGGCTGGGCGGAAGGGTTGAACCGGAATACCGAAGATCTTGGGTCCGTTGAGTGGTTCCAGATTCCAGAGTCACGTTTGTTCGTCTACCTCATAATATAAGATTCCATAGATATATAGGGATCGATTTTGGCGGTCATAATTTTTAATCCGCCTCCAGAACCGAAGGAGATGAACCCTAGGTCTGAAAGTTGGGCCTCATAATAGCTTAGATTAGATGTAATAGACGAATGTACGATTCCTATCCAGGGGAAATATGGTGGGATAAATATGATAAAAGTGGTATAAAAGCGGTATAAGCAGGATGTACCACATCTCGAGCGAACACACCTAGCGATGGGCATTCAGTCCCCCGTGAAAGAATACCACAGAGGAATGCCCACGGAATAGTTCCCAAGAGGGAGTTCAACAAAGTCGAGGCAAGTGGTCAAATCTTCCCAAAGCCAACACCGTAAGCTGGTGAGGCTCCATGATGGCAAATAGAAACAAAACGTTTGCTAGAGGCCGGAGCTTGCACACAGCAACAGGGAGGGCGATGGATAGTGAAGAGTTTATCGGATCTTCGCAACAAGACTAATTGGCACGTCATTGTGAGGACATGACAATTTAAAGTAGTGCGGTGTGGGAGAGTGCATTAGATGAGAGACAAGGATCAGTCGTATTAAATCAGTATTAGTCATTTTTTCTAGATCGAGCCCGACGACTTGCAGAGGATGCAGGCTCTTCGCGTTCATCCTCGTCCTCGGCATCATCCTCATCATCATCGTCTAGCGGTACATCCATGACTCGCTGTCCAGCAGTTTCAAGTACTCTGCAGCTCCAAGCACGGACACCTTTATACACGCCCTGTTTTTTTTTTGTTTGCTTGTGTTAGTAGCTGAGACAATGTATCTGGATTGGAAGAAATACATACCCAAAGAAATGTAGCTACACCGATAGCAAGTACTATCCAGCTCACTGATGCAGCCCTGCTCCTCCCGGTATTAGCTGATCTCCGGCCTGACCCGCCGAGAAGTCCAGAGTTGCGTAGATTCCACCACTGCCACGGTGAGGCAGCGAGCACCACTTTCAGAAAAGAAAGCACTCCAAGCGACGCAAGCCCCTTCATAAGATGCTCAAACCAGGTCGATCTCGTGTCCACAGCACCCAGTCCATCTGTGCCATCGTCCCACAAGTCACCAGTGATGGTATCAAGAGGATCTAGGTATATGTTGATAATCGGGTCTGCCACAAACCCGAGTAGAAAAATAGTAAAGAGCAGGATGCCCACTGTAAGCGTCAATTGAGCAACCTGACTGTTGATCCATTTTGCCCATGTCATCCGCTCCAGCCGATATTCAAACCCGCAGGTCGGACACTGCCAGTAGTTCCGTCTCCCGTATGCGGGGTCAGCATTCCTCCAGAGCTTCAGGCAACCCTCGTGAACGTATCGTGACGAGCCCTTGCACTTGCAGGGCCGAAGCAGACGACCCAGCTCAGGGTCCGAGGATTCGTATGTCACTCTGATCTTTGACTGTAGGAAGCTAGGGAAGCTATCTGACGGCAGATGCGTGGTTGGAGGCACGCTCTCGAGACAGATCCGGCACGTCCGGTGAGGGTATCTCTTGGGTTCCGGCGCAGGCTGGCCACCTGTCTCCTCCCTCTCAGGCTCTGCATTGCCTTCTGGTCGTGAATCAGCGGTGCTGGCAGCTTCAGGCCACTCCCACGACGGAGCCGAGTCCATGGCCACCTAGTAGTAGTTATCTTGTAGTGATGTAGACAGCTTCCTTTTCAGCCAGCTTCAACATGCACGTCCGTTGTCAGCCATCCGGTCAAGGAGCGTAGCATCGTCCTGGAGCCGGCGAGGAGCAGCAACGGCGTCGTCTGTCGTCGTCTTCTCTATGGCTTGATGATGATGATGATGTTGTTGTTGTTGTTGTTGTGTGGGATGTTTTTTGTTTTCGCCGTCGAAAAGAAAAGAAGAAAAGCGAAAGCTGGCCCAATCGCCCGGAAGCGCAGGTTTAGCCGGGCGGCTAATCTTGCCGTTTGCGGCGCCGCGTCAACATCTGCCTTGCGATTCTTCGATGGAACCAAAAGACGCAGGCAAAAGAACGACGCCGTGAAGCAAACAAACAAGAAACAGCTTGACGACGGCCGCCGCAGAGCTTCGAGAGGGACAGCCGCAGACACCGACAGCTACCACCAGACCGTGTCTTTCGCGTTTCAAGCTCGCCGTCTCGATTCCGCCCTTTGGCCATGGCCGACCGCTACTCGTTCTCGCTGACCACCTTCTCCCCCAGGTACTGTTTCTCTCCACTGCGCCGTGATGCTGCGGGATGCGAGCTTGAAAGCTGACCTTTGACACAGCGGGAAACTAGTTCAGATCGGTATGGCAGCTGAGCCGCGGCCGGCAGGGCCCAGTATCAAGCTAACTTGGGTGTAGAATATGCTCTAAACGCTGTCAACCAGGGTGTAACGGCCCTTGGGATCAAAGGTTAGGGCGAGCCACCAGGTAACCCTTCTCATGTCGACCGGTTACTGATGCTGTCGCCTCCCATAGCTACAAATGGAGTAGTCCTAGCTACAGAGAAGAAGTCTACGAGCCCTCTTGTCGATCCCCCCTCGCTCTCCAAAGTCTCCCTGATCACCCCGGATATAGGCATGGTCTACTCTGGAATGGGCCCGGACTACCGCGTGCTCGTCGACAAGGCCCGCAAGACCTCCCACACAAACTACAAGCGCATCTACAACGAATATCCTCCCACCAGAATACTTGTACAAGACGTTGCTCGAGTGGTACAGGAAGCTACCCAGTCTGGTGGTGTCCGGCCGTACGGCGTGAGCTTGCTCATTGCTGGCTGGGATGACGGTATCGAGCCAGAGACCACGGAAGCCAAGGAGGGAGAGACAGATGCTGAGAAGAAGAAGGCTTCCGGCAAGACAGGAGGTATCTTGAAGGGAGGGCCGAGCTTGTACCAGGTCGACCCCAGTGGAAGTTATTTCCCATGGAAGGCCACGGCCATTGGGAAGAGCTCCACAAGTGCAAAGACCTTCCTTGAGAAGAGATACACTGAAGGTCTAGAGTTGGAGGACGCCGTACACATCGCTCTCCTGACCCTCAAGGAGACGATCGAAGGTGAAATGAACGGTGATACCATTGAAATTGGTCAGTAGTTCATTCTACAAGGCCGAACTTCCTACCCATTATAAAAATCCTTCGAACTAACCCATGTATGCAGGTATTGTCGGTCCTCCAGCACACCATCTGCTCGGATATGAAGGCGTTGAGGGAGCCCGAGGCCCTCGGTTCAGAAAGCTCAGCAAGGAGGAGATCGAAGACTACTTGACCAACCTATGATAGACTACAATTTTACCATAATATCAGTAATGAAAGCTCCTGAGCCATGGTGACACTCTTATGCCCTGTTACCCCCGTCCTAGTTTCTTTCAGATGTTTATGCATGCAACGCGGGGTTTCTTCGCGCTCATGCATGTTAAAAAAAGCGCCGGAGAATTCCATTTAGCGTCCAGTATTTGATAAAAGACCATCCATCTTCGTAGGCGAGTCTCTTCTTCTTCATCGCACCGTCGCTGTGGTTTTCCATCCTGGTGTTTCTTCCTCTCTTCCTCCTCTCCAGCTAACGAACTTACCAACCAACTGCAATGCCCATCAAGACCCACCAAGAACATCTTTCAACTACAACCGCCGCAACCAAAAGACGTCGACAACAACGCTGCATGGCCACCGCGAAGCCAGAACTTCCTGGCCAGATGCTTGCCCTAGAGGAGCATAAGCAGGGGAGGAAACGGCCCAGGTCAAGTTCTGGCTCAAGCGATATGCGTCAAAATGAAGCAGCACAGAAAGCAGGCCTTGACAGCCTGGAGGATGCTCCAGATATGATGAGACCAAGAGGATATCAACGAGAGATGCTGGAGGCGAGCATAAAACAGAATATAATAGTCGCGGTTAGTTATATGCATCTGTTTGCTGTCTATATTAAAAGTCTTCTAATATCGCAACTAGATGGACACCGGCAGTGGAAAGACTCAAATGTTAGTGAACTATATACATGCTGAGAACGCTTGGATACGATCAATTGAATGGTCAAGCACCTTCTAATACAATTGGTCATATATACAGTGCTATTCTTCGCATTAGACACGAACTAGAGAGGTGCTCAAATGATAAGGTATGAACTCCCGTGAACAATTAACTAGCAGGCACCACAATATATTAACGGGTGTATAGCTCGTTTGGTTTCTGGCTCCGAAAGTTCCCCTTGCAGAGCAACAGTACAGGGCCATTTCTGAACAGCTCCCTGCCTATCAGACGAAGATCCTGACCGGAGCAGACAACTTAGAACGCTGGTCCACACAGCAGATTTGGGATGCTTTTCTGCTAAATACCAGGATTGTTGTATCAACACCCCAGATTCTTCTAGATGTGCTGTCCAATGGATTCATTACCTTACGACGAATAGCATTGCTTGTGTTTGATGAAGGTAACTATTTAGATTGAATCACTCTGGTTATTTCTTTTACCCCTTGCTAACTCTTTTGCGTAGCACACCATTGCGTCAAGGCCTCTCCGGAAAATAAGATTATGAAAAATTTTTATCATGCCCGTATAGACCAGCTCAGTGAAACAAATGATCTCCCGTCTATTCTTGGCCTTACTGCTAGTCCCACCTCTAGATTAATTGAGGATTCTCTGAGGTAAGTACTCGGCTATTATTCTTATAGTCGCCTATGTGAAGGCAGTTTGCTCATGGAAAGTAGACAGCTGGAGCAAAACCTCGATGCTTTCTGTAAAACACCAGCTATTCACCGGGAAGAGATGATGCAATATGTGCATATACCAGAGCTACTAAAGGTTTCGTACCAGAAAGACTCAATAATACCTCACAATATGAAAATGAAATATCTACATATGCTGGATGACATAGATATCGAGAGCGACCCGTTTTTCCAGAGGTATAAAGGGAAAACAGATAGAAAAAGCACAGAGAGGTTCCTGTGTGCTCTTGCGCGGAAAACTCCTTGCCTTGATCAGCTGAAGCGATGCTTCACTAAAGTTAGCCATATGTACGGCGAGCTTGGACATTGGGCCTCATCGACGTATATTTCTGAGATATACCGACGGACCCGCGAGAAAAGGGCCAAGCTCGTTGACCAGAATTGGTCTGAATGGGATAGAGATGACTCTTCCTTCATGTGCAATGCATTGGAGCCTGTGGTTGCGATCATGGGTGAAAGATGCTGGAATTCAACCCCTGATGCGGTCTCACCAAAGGTTGAACATCTGGTAGACCTCTTGTCGTCAGAACTCACAGGTGCTTCAAGGGGAATAATCTTCGTTGAGCAAAGGGCAACGGCGGTTATGCTCTCCCATCTCATCGCCCATTACCCAGAGCTTGCACACATAAAGTCAGATTATTTCCTAGGGAACTCTGCGTTTTCCGACAGGAAAGCAGATATTACTGAGATCAGCAAGCCAGGAGACATGAAGGATTCTATAGATGATTTGAAGTCTGGCAAAAAGAACTTACTTGTTGCTACCTCTGTCCTGGAAGAAGGCATAGACGTTTCCGCATGTGACCTTGTTGTATGCTTTGATCCCCCGAAACAGCTACGCTCCTTTGTTCAAAGACGGGGTAGAGCAAGAAAGAAGAGCTCGAAATTTGTTATATTCTATGCCGAAGATGATACTGCGACATACAAGGACTGGGAAGCCATGGAGGATATTATGAAAGAAAGGTATTTGAGCAACAAGGAGTTTATAGACAGGCTCCAGGAAGAGGATGATGAAGATGAAATCGAATATGAAAGCTTTAGAATTGAATCAACTGGGTACAGTGTTACCCCTGGGCTGCTTTTGTGGGATTGCCTGCTGACTATTTATTATTCTGTCAGGGCGTTATTAACCCTTGCGAATGCTCGCGCACACCTTTCTCACTTCTGCTCAACAATACCCTGTGAATTCACAGATACTCAGCCTGACTTCATCATCTCTAAGTCGGGAATTAAAGACATGCTAACCGCCAAAGTATTGCTCCCCACAGTTCTAGATCTCCAATTTCGTGAATTCGAGGGAATTCAAGCATGGAAAAGAGAAAAAATGGCCAAAAGAGATGCAGCATTTCAAGCCTACTTGCAACTTTACGAGGTCGGTCTGGTTAACGACCACTTGATGCCTGAACACTGCCGTACCACCGACGAAGAAACAGCGCATGTTGAAAAACGCACCAGCATGGCAACATGTTCCGAGGTGTTCAACCCCTGGAAAATGGTTGCTTATCGATGGCACAGTACAGATACCTTCTATCAGAGCAGTATTGTCATTGCCTCTGGAACGGAAGAGTTGCCTAGAATGCTACTAATCCTACCAATACCCCTCCCATGCGATTTTACTGTTAAGCTATTCTGGAACGAGAAAAGCACTCTTTTAGCATCAGTTTCGCCGCAAGAATTGACGGTGTCGGATGAGGATATTGTCTCAGCCCCACTAGCTACACATATTCTTCTGTCCTCCGTGTTCCCATCTAGAATGAACGGAACTTCCCGTGATTTCTCTTGCATATTTGCCCCCGACCTTGCCGAGGGACATGGAGGGCTTGAATCATGGTGTACTAAAGTCAGTGAGTCCATTTTGGGACGAAACATTGTAAGCGGCGGCCTCAGCTCGATTGGTGACTTTGGCCTTGCAAGGCGAACTGATATCTATGCTAGGGCATGGGTAGCGGAAAAATTTGTATGGATGAAACGCGTCAGAGTAGAAGATGATAGTGAGTCTGCAGAAGACGAGGAGGAAGAGGGAGAGATACTGCATGTCGAAGGAGAAAAGTGGCCGAAGAGAGCTGATTTCTTGCATCCCGTCACCAACTCGACCGGTTCTAAACAACATCACACTGCGAGGAACTGTATTCCAGCTCGACAAAGCTGTATATCCATGTTACCTGTCGGGTTCGCTAAATTTGCACTGTTCATCCCATCCCTGATACACACCATTGGGCGCTACTTGCTGGCCGAGGAACTTTCCAAAACTATATTGTCGCCCATAGGATTCCAGAATATTCAGCTAGTGCTGACAGCGATCACTGCCGCCTCAGCAAGGGAGGATATCAACTATCAACGTCTAGAATTTCTTGGAGACAGTGCTTTGAAGCTGCATGCATCTATGCAGCTTTTGGCAGAGCATCCACTCTGGCATGAAGGGATACTGTCGAAAAAGAAGGACTCCATCGTATCCAACTCTCGACTTTGGAAAGCTGCAGTAGACACCGGACTGGACCAGTTTATCCTTACGACGTGCTTCACAGGTGCGAAATGGCGGCCGCTATACAACAGCACGTACACGAACAATGCGGGGAAAATTGGAGAGAAATCCACCCGGGAATTGTCTACCAAGACCCTTGCAGATGTTGTGGAATCATTAATTGGGGCCGCCATTATTGATGGGGGAGAGAACAAAGTGCTACATTGCCTGGAGCTATTTCTCCCTGAAATCAACTGGCTGCCGTCTGGGGAGCGCATTGAAATTCTCTACGACTCCGCACTGGACTTCAACGACGATTGCCCCCGCGATATTCTGTCGAAAGTAGAACCCCTGATCGAATACTCGTTTACGAAAAAGGCCCTCCTGGCCGCCTCCCTGTCGCATCCCAGTAATCCAATTAGTGGGATGACGTATCAGAGGCTCGAGTTTCTCGGGGATTCGATTCTGGACAACATCGTTACGAGAGCACTGTTCCGCTGCAAAAAAGAGATTCCTCATCAAGATATGCACCTGATACGCACTGCATTGGTCAACGCCGACTTCCTTGCTTTCCTATGCATGAACACATCCACGGACGAAACGCGGGAAGATGTCTGCGTGTCTCCAACCGGGGAGGTAGAAGTCACCTCGTCTACCCGCCAAGTGTCCCTGTGGCAGTATATGTCGCATTCGAGTACGGATATCGTTGAGACCCAGCAGGCCATGGCCCGCACGTTTGAGGAGTTACGAGGCCAGATAGAAAATGCGTTGCGGTCAGGTGCTAGATACCCCTGGACGTTACTTTCGACGCTCAATGCACCCAAATTCTTTTCGGATATTATCGAGAGTATCCTGGGCGCAATATTCATTGACTCACGCGGCTCGATACTCGCATGCCAAAAGTTTCTTACACGTATTGGTCTGATGGACTATCTCCAGCGTGTTCTCGAAGATGATGGTATTGACTTTATGCATCCGAAACAGCGTCTCGGCGTAGTGGCTCAGTCCCTCAGTGTGCAGTACGTTGTGTCAGAGGTCCATGTGAAACCCGGGGTTACACAATGGAAGTGTCAGGTCCTGGTAGGGGATGAGGAGATATCTCGAGTTGACGATGGCGTAAGTCAAAACCAGGCCAGGGCGAAAGCAGCGGATCTTGCCCTTGAAGTGCTGCGCACGGAGAATTAATGACAATACGATGTGATGATTACACCTTTTGGATTTTCTTATGTTGGATTGTTTGGGCCATGCTAGATACCCCTAGATTGAGTCAGACATTGGGAAGAAATAATAATCATTTGGAGAGATAAGCCATAAACTCATTAACCTTTATCTGGCGAAGATATAGTATCATTTCAAACTATACCACTGTGCTCTTCTACAGCGCAGGACTTTCATTCAATGGATCCTCACACTTTGTAAAGACGTTTATCGTCAAGCTCAGCCCAGGCTTCACTACCAACAGTCGCACGGCCCAAAGGATATTTGGAGAGTCATATTTCCACCCTCTTTATGCTGAGAAGTTCCCAGTACTAGGATCGATAGCAGGCCAACTGCCAGTTAGGTACTGATTCTGGGATGGAGATGCAGTTACAAGGTCTCCCTTGGGCGTAGCAACTTCACCTTCTAGGACTTGGTCGGCAGGCCGTACTTGGTGGTGAGCAGACTATGACTGTCACCCTGAGTATATTTATACACCGTCGATCCGTTACAACGCCCAAAGCCAGGCATCTTTACCTCGTAGTAGGTCCGATGCAGTTACCAGTGATGGCGGAAGTGAAGCTGATCTGATAAGATTTATTATGTCAATGACGGAGATTCCGGGCTTGTCCCGTCGACTTCCGATCCTGCGAGCAAAAAAAGATCTCAGTTGACTAGCCTCCTACGCCTCGCAAAGCCACTCCTTCGAGTTCCGCATGAACCTCCTATCACTATGGATATCATTATTCACATAGACACGGAATGTCTCTGGACCATGACCCTACGAGTGTGAACCCCTTTTCCCCATCGTCTCGATCCTCCTACGAAACCCACCATCAACAGCTGTGATTACCGGCTCGTTACTCCGTCTCCGTGGCCTCTGGGTACTCTCGCAGCCACTCGTCCTTTGACAGACACCGACCACTTCCCTCAAGGAACCGAGTGATTTTGGCATTGAGATCTAGGCGGTTAGTCAAGCCGTAATCAATGGATTCAGCATCTGGCTTACCTTCTACCGTCATGATGTTCCTGGCCTGCAGGGAGTAATGATCTTTGAACTCATGGACCAGTATAAGGTCGTCCGGTATCCGAATGCCTGAGTGTATCGTCAGGCTCGACATTTAGCCAAACCGACGTACTTGGGTACTAACCTGCATCCAATTTGTAAATACAGGCCGAGCTCCCCCTGAGGCTGGCTGCATTCTGCTGCATTTTTAGAGTATTTGGCCGCATTGAGGCCCCGTTTGGTGCTAATCTCATCAAAACAGACATGAATTAGCCTTACACTGGTGTTTATATCGATTGTACAAGGTGATTGCTGTTCTTACGCTGGTAAGTGGCCGGGTTGAGGGCCTTTGGCTGCACCATTCCGTTGTGCGTCAGGAGGTCAAACAGCCCAGGAGGCCGTCGAGGGCCAGGATAAGCCCGCAAACGAACAACACGGCCGTTGTTTATGCGGAAAAGATCCTTTGGTATTATGCTGTAGGACTTTATGAATCTCGACATGATGTTGTTGTAGTTAGCAATAACTAATGGTTATGCAGGCGCTGGGTTCTTCTAGCGAAGTGGGTGCTGCGGAAAATCAGCCTGCGTAGGAAATGATGCTGACGCTTGCTCCTCGGTAACTAGTTAGTTAACTAGCTTTCCATCTTGCGGCTAGCTTCGCTTAGTTAACCAATGGTTATCTCCTACCCAACTAGAGTATTAGGTAAAGTTGACGAAGGTAATATTGTAATTTCTCAAGCGACTTCCTATATAATTTACTAATGAAAACAATTGACTAATGAAACCCAACATACTATACACTTATATTATAGCAGCATAGGGGGGAGTTGGTATCTCCATTTTGTGTTACGTAACTAAACAAAGAGCATAATTACCCCAAGGAGCATGTCTAAGGTGTACGTTTAAGGAGCCGGTCTAGATAACTAAAGTGACGCACTTCCAGTCACTCCTTTGATTGAATGGCTTGTTTGCTATGGTTGTATGCGGGATACTAGCAGTGAGACCTGCTTGCCTCCTTTCGTTGATGACATGGCTTCATCTCCGGCTAATTCACTGCGGGAATGTATTCACTCTATCAGCATAGCTAGTTCCCCAGGTGGTCTATAAATTCCCAGCATCTTCTTCCCTCTTCCTCTGTCTCTTTCTCTTCCTTACCACTACTCCAACCATCGACTCAACCCTTTACACATTTTTATGGTATGAAGGCAAGTCCGCGAGAAGAACGATAGGTATGGCAGCTAGTGGCCGGTGGTTCCACCTCGTTCGATGCCTTCTTAAGTGATTTTACATTTAAAATAATGGGTTCGTTTGCGCAGCGTTAACTATGTCTTCATCCGAGCACAGGTTAGAGGCAAAAGACGTGACACCAGGCCCTCTCTCCCCTGTGCCGTATGTTTAAGCCAACTTGTTGCACATTTATATCCCACTGTGGCTCTCCCATATAATCATTTAGGGGAGAGTATATGACACCAAGGGGTATATAACTACTTTTTACAGTTACCACCAGAAAAGACGACGATTTTAAGCCTACAGAAAAGGGAAGAGCCGTGTACTCGTTGCACCCCCGTAAAGAAGCCCTACATCAAGGGGATCGAGATATTCATGGAGGAATAACTTGCAATGCGCCACTCAACCAAAAGTTGGTAGGCCATATACCACTTCTGATGATGAATATGAGCTATCCTCGAGCGAGCCAAATCTCCAGGACGGGGCTACAGGTCATTGCAGGCGAGATGCATACAATTCCTTGCGATTGTCATCGAAGCAATATTATCATAACGCAATCTCTCGCATGCAAACTGCCTTACTGCTGTAGAGTACTGCTGGCAGGCCGCTCGCTCCGTAATGGAGCCTTGGGATCTAGAGGGCAGCTTCACCGTCAGGCCGCTAAGCCATCCTGCGATGCATTTGAGATCAAAGAAATGATGATATATTTTCTCTCAGTGGCTCCCAATGGTAGATTCGCCGATTCCCGAAGCTTGTATTGTGGTTCAAGAACCTCGGGAAGCGGAGTGATCTATAGAAACGCCCCTTACCAGGGTGTAGCAAAGGATATCGGCAAGTTGCTCTATCATCTAGTACAAGATATTGTCCACTGCTAACTAACGCTCTCTCTAACTAGCTGTCAAACTTCAGCTCTGCCTACCATTAGTGTGGGCTCACTCCTTTTGGTGTAGCGGCAGACTTTGACACTAGCACCTTACTATCCGCGATGCATTCGATGGTACAAATGTGCCCTTCCCCGATACCACTCAAGCCGCCGTCCCTTTTATCAGTTGGGTTACCAGTCATTTGGATATCCCCAGAAACGCAATGCCTGCATATCATGGCCGTTGAAGACCCTTCGATGTTCTAACTATCAGAAGGCAAGTTTTGCTCAGGGCCCTCGACCCAACGACATACACCGAAATATCTAGATCAGGAGTCATCGCTTCCAAATGACCTCGCTCTCGATACCCCTATAAGCTAAGCAGATTCAAAAGACACGGACGAGTCCCGGTGTCTTATATCCTAGCTTAGATTTCAAAAACTCGGGCCCCGGGTTTTTTGGGGCTCAGTTATTGCTCAAACTCTGCTCTTCCAAATTTCTCTTCTCCTTAAGATAGCTTTTCGCAGACTAATCTGCTCTCTCCTCTCTTCCTACCCCAGGAGCTTAACTTCTCTGCGGACCGCTCCAATATCGTTCCAGTTTAGGGGTCTAGCAACGACCCGACTCTGTCGAAGTGGTTCAAGAATATCTCTCCTCTTCGAGCGGTAAAGCTCACTTTAAGCATTACCTTGCTTCCACCTATTGCGTTTACATCACAACGTTCAATTACTCCAGCAAGAAACTTCCTCTGAATAAAGCGCAACACTTGATACGCACCCCCGACAACCTCTTATTCGTCTAACGGACTCCTGGCAACAACAATGAATGCCGACTAACATTCATGAACCGCAGACAATAAGCCAAGCTACGGACGGCAAAGGATTTTGTGACGTCCCTCGCACGTGACTACGTCATCGTAACGGCACGTCACAACGTCACCGAACGCAACGCTCTCTTTAGATAACAATCAATCAACTTATTACATCATGACATGACGTCACCTCGTGCACGGCACGTAGCAGATTTATCATTCTCTCTCAGATAACAGAAGACCCCTAAAGAGAAGAGGCCCAAGCTGAAAGGTCCGGATACAACTACAACTACATCTTCAGCACCCAAAAGGTCCTACTACGACCAGAATCTCAAAGGCAGAAAGGAGTCCTTAGCGATTCGAGTACTTCATCATTCATTGCAGTCCCTAGCCTATAATTATTGATTTTCTAGAGTTAGTTATATATGCATTTCCTACACCGGCAGTCTTATTTTCCTTACTCTAGCTTCTATCTTCACTGAGTTCTCTTATTAGGGCTTGTTAGAATTCTTTTTTCAACATATACTTAAATTATTATATAGACTAGAGATAAAGTACTAAGAGGGAAAGAAGAATGTAGGTATCAAACTATTCGACGATCAAACTGCTGCTGCTATAATAGTAGGATATTTGCACTAATTCTGAAATAGCTCTAAATGAATTGCTCAGTAAGTTCTATAACGAATTTGGCCAAATCACAGCCCCAGGAGCGTGGTTGGATAAGAATCCCTACAATGAAGCCTTTTTTGACGATTTGGAAGATTGGATGAGCAAATGAGACTGTGGTAGCTGGGGGATTTCAAATCAAATGCTTTCTTTGTATTATAGAATAAGGATGGCCGCTTATTATGAGTAAAAATGTGACAGATAACCCTACATTCCGCGCGGTAATATGCAGCCTGCCGAGTATGTCATTCTTCCCACTGAGGTAATGGGATGCGAGACTCACTTTCCAACTGTTCCTTGGCCACGCATATTTCGAGAAGACCACACGGTTTATGGCATCCCCAAATACTAGTCGGGTTGGACTAGGATTGACCGTTCGAAGCGCCCGTTTTGAATTATTTTTTTAGCTAGGTATAAGAAGGTAGAAGTATACCCTTATTCATAAATCATCGTAGTTGACTTAGTCAACGGGATAACTAATCTATATTTCCATTGTGCTTTTCAAGCCTTCCAATGAAATTAACTACAGTTCATTTACGATAAGAGCTTGCAAGGCGAAGAGAAAATAGAATATTGAGCGATATATCATATGAATAGCAAATATAATTTTAGAGGAGACTTATAACTAATGGTTATTCGTTTGCTACACTCTTTTAATCAATCATATCGACCTTTTGCTGCTATTGTTTGACAACCATCTAACAGACAACTCTGCCCTGCTTGAGAACTACTATTTTTCTCTATATCTATAACTAATAGGTGCTGTTTGACTAGTTAGTTGAATGCCCCAAAAGACCAGACTCGGATGATCTTGATAATACCCCTATTTTGGCGCCGCATTCAATTAACATACAAGGCGGCGACATTCACTTCCTCCCGCTCGAGCCCCTGATTTCATAGGAATTCAGCGATCCAATTCCAGCTGGTTAACTTATAGTGGCAGCAAAAAACGAGATCAGATACCCACCAAAAAAGAAAGACATCGGAATGCCAATATGATAGCTGTGTAGATGTATTTCGGCTTAGAATGGACAAGAAACCGCTCAAATTGAAGAGTACAAATTTGGACACCCTAGGCGAACAGCTGGCCGTTGCATAATAATAGACCGTAACTGCTTCCGACGGCCTGATCTGCTTGGGCCTATGGACATACTGCGCATGCAGAGCCAGAAGCCGTACACTTGCGTCCTGGGGCCAGTTCATCAAGAGGGAACACGCTCATCCTGTAAATGAAGCTGAAGACATCGCCCAAGCCAGTCCACGGCGAACAGCTGGTCATCGAGCCTGCAAGCGCAAACTAGACGCCCAACTGGCTACAGAGGACTGCGTTATGCCTCTGGATTGACGGCCATAAAGTCACACTCGCAGGTTATTTGCAGCCATAACCGCAGCATCCAAACCATTAACCGCAGTGCCACGGCCCCGGCTATGCACGACAGCATCGAGCGGTTGGCTGCCCGTCTATCAAAACCGCCATTTTCATCCCCGCAGCTCATGCAGCTGCGAGTGGGACATCGACGTGGCTAGCTCTGACTTGCCGCAAGCCACACACAAAGGTTGAAGGGAAGAGAGGGAGAGAAAAAAAATAGACAATTGGCCTGGGACTGGTCGGGTTCGATTTATTTCCTTTTATTCTTTGCGTCTTTGGCTCCTTTTTATGCAGCGGTTTGTGCCCAAGTCGATGAGATGTAAGTCAAGTGAGAGCTACGATTCCCATACTGTCTGATTTGATCCTTGTCGGAGAAGAGAGGGCCAAAAGGGACGCCCAAAAATTCCGCGGGAGCGGGCCGGGTGAAGGGAAAACCACATAGACAAGACATATTTATATCCTGTTTTCGGCCCTGGAGTTGATATTATTGCCGCCTTGCGTTGCGGGTTTGGGCACTTCGCTGGGCGGTTTAGAGGGCGTACAACTATATACAAGTCGAGGCCAGGGACCAGAGGTCGACTTCGCTGCCCTTCCAGCGTCTTCTGCATAATTATTGTCTATCCTGGCCGTATAATTCGGGTTTGCCCACTGGACTGAGACATCGATGCAGTAGTTATCGAGCCCTCTCCGTCGTGTCGAGCATCTAGTTTAAGCAGCCCCGTCCGCCGGCGTAACTACACCGACTTTCAGCATGATTGTCTCGATATGCACGTCGCAGTCGATGCCTTCTGGCTCCAGCATCGACTCGACAGACCGCAGTCCGCATGTCTACTCCTCCCGGCCCAAGATCCTCCATCAGAACGACGGCGGCCCTGTCGTTGCCCTGCCAGCTCCCTTCCCTGACCATGACGAGACCCTAAACCCGTTCGCCCTCAAGTGTATCTTTGCCGGAATATTCGAATGCGATAAATCATTCGAAGACCCCGAGGACTGGAAACTGCACGTCACCGGCCATCTCATGTCCCATCAGCCCCCGAGCAAAGTGAGCTGCATAGTGTGCAAGCAGGTCTTTTCAAATCCGCAGATCCAGTCTGTCCAGCTGCAGCTAGAGATGCCGAATCAACAGCATCAACAACAGCAACAACAGCCCGTGGGAGGAGAGGCATGGCAGAACATGCTGGATCATATCCTTGCTGAACATCCGCGCTGGGGAGCCTGTGGCCAGGTAGAGCCGTGTCCGGACTTTGACCTGATGCGCCACATGTACTGCATGGGTATCATATCAACAGAGCAGTTCAAGCTGCTGCAGCTCACGAGAGAGACGCCGCCGCATCTCCCGCAGAATGGCTCCTCTGCAGAGCCGTACTTCATCCAGACCAGCTCGCGGAGGGAGCGTAGACAGCGACGGCCGCGTCTTTCAAATGCCGGCTCAAGGTCGAAGATCCATCTATGACGACCACCTTTGGATGACTTTATATTATTATACCGTCTTCATGTCTCTCATATAGTTAGCCTGCATCTGCATACCCCCATTTTTTGTGCATTTTGGATTCTTGTTTTATTAGTGGAAATATTCATCAAATTTGATTCAATCCTCCTTTTTTTTTTTTCATTTGGTCAATCTGATAACTACTTATCTGATATTAGCCATGCATGCCTTGTTTTTTTCTGGTTTCGAGAACGCTTTCATGTAAATAATTGCAATCAAATAGCAACACGTGATGGATATAAAACAGGTAGTTAGCCGAAGCTGAAACCGAGAAGATAAAATTGATAGATCAACCGAAAGACCCCCCGAGACAGAATGGAAGATTGCATGGTACTCATGTAGCTGACCCGACTACCCCCGTATCCCCGGCCAGTCATAGCGATGGGCATTAAAGAAAGACAGCTCAGCCTCCATGAACTGCGTTGGCAGCATTTTGGCTCCTTCATACTTCAAATACTCCAGGCTCGCGGATAAGGATGGGATATATGCATCTGACTCAGTGCCCTTCAGGACAACCTGCTTCAGGGAATCAAAATTCTTGTTCATGGCGGCAGCAACTTCATCGACCAGCTTCATGTTCATGATGTGAGCTCCAGATGTCAAGGCCGGCATCAACAGGTCGGATATATACTCTGCCTGAATGATCGAACCAGCTCGCCAGATCTTCAGACAGTCTCCTAGATCGGTGTTCCATTTCTCATCCTTGGATCCACGGGCAATCAGCTCGAGTCCCTGGCAGAACGATGCCAGGATGGAGATGTATGCTGCGTCTCGAAGCTTTTCGACAAAGGTTGGGACGTCATGGATGTGCGTGAGCCTCTTCGGGGGTGCTATGCCTAGCTTCTGAGCCACTTTGAGCCGTTGTCTCCTGTTCACGCTGGAGACTCGCAGGAATTGGCCCGCTGCGATGCTGGGAGCAGAGACGTGCCGGTCTGCTGCCTCCATGACAGACCAGTACAGAGTACCAGCAGTGTCATCGTCATCTGCATGTCTTACAGAATCGGGCATGTCATCCAGGATATAGGGCTTGTCGGCAGCTTGGTTTTTATCGCTGTCCTTCTGGGGTTTCTTCTTTTCTCGACAGATGCTGGCCCCTATCTGGACAAGGAACGTATTCCTCAGGGGCCCCTCTGAGTTCCAGTTCTCAAATATATCCCCGATTTCATCATATGATTTACCCAAGCCATAATGCAGCAATGCCCACGCCTCACATATGGTAGACAGCATTCCATTCTCAATCGCATTGTGAACCATTTTGACATAGTGGCCTGCACCCCTGGTTCCAACATTGGCCACGCAGGATTCACCAGTTCGAGCGTCCTGCGCTGCAAACTCCTTCATCAAGGGCATCACAGCCCTGATGGCATCAGAGTCACCTCCAAGTGCTAGACTAGGTCCAGGTCTAGTCGAGTGATTGCCCCCTGACACTCCCATCCCAATCCAACTAACTCCCTGCTTCTCCATCTCCTCTTGTCTTCGCTCGGTGTTTCGATAATTCTCATTGCCTCCATCGAGTATGATATCTCCATCCTCTAGGTCGTCCATCATTGAGGCCAGGACACAGTCTGCCGGCCAGCCATGGGTGATTGAGAAGATGAACGGTCGACGACCTCGTCCGTCCTGGTCGATTGCCACATCAACGCTCTTGACGAAGTCATGGATATCGTAAAATGGCCGTATGTTCTCCTCCACTCCCTTCTCTCCTTCGACCTTGTCCATCACGTTCCTCACATTCTCGGCTTTGGCGTCCCAGAGTGATACCTTGATGCCCCTTTCAGCAAAGCCAAATGCCATCGTGGGCCCCATATTCCCCGCTCCAACGATGCCGATACACTTGAATATTTGCTTCGACGGAGCCATGGTAACGGTTATTCGCTTATCGTCGAATACCGAGGGTGTCATCTAACGTATGTCAATATATAGTCTTATATGGATGTGCTAGGCAGCCATATCTAGTAGACAACACCGGCAAAGAGCCACATTGCAATACAAATCATGGAAGACGGGACCCCTCATCAATATCTAGAGGCAAGATATCCAAGTTGCCATCAGCCTGTGTAGGGACATGATTGGAAGGGGAAGGGACTTATGACGACATACCTCAGCCCCCGAAACTCTCTGGCCTCCCGACTATAAAAGAGTCACAAACAAAAACTCAGACCTTTCCAGTGTAAATAATCCAATTGGTTCTAAATAATTGATCATCTATATACGTCCAAATAAGTGCTCATCAGGAAAATAGAGGGACGCTTCGCTAAAACGGCACAATGATCAAAAAAATATGTTCAGGAAATAAATCGGAGTAAACAAGTAGAGGAAAGGGTTTGCACATCAAGCGACAAACACCAGTCCTGAAAATTCAAAAATAAATATGAAGGAGAGATCAGGTTGCTTTTAGGTGCTGAGTGTAATTACTTCTCTGCGGCATCGTTTACACTGGTTCCTTCGCTTGGAGGGATACCCTGAAGGTCTTTCGACCCTGCACCGCCCTTTCTCATGGGTGGGAACCAGAATCCGGGATGGAAGATGGTGAATGTGGCAGCACCCAAAGCAATCATCCTAGAGTCCTGTCAGCCATGAACCAAGTATAGGTGTACAAGAGACATCATATCATCCTTACATTCCGTCGAGGAGGAGAAAGTCCTTCTCATTTCGCATGAGCGGGTTGCCCCAGCCGCCGGCCATCTCAGGTAGACTATACAACCTCCTTGTAAATATTAAGTCCCAGGATAAGATAATACCTTGAGCACTTACCGGTATATGCATCGGATCAGGATGACCATATAGGCAAAGACATCTGCCGCACAGAAGATCCAGAACGATTTACGTGCTGCAGCTCCATATGGCAAGCCGCTGGAAGAAAACCCCTTTCCACTTCGGTATGCTCGGATGAAGAACTCAAGGGCAAGAAGTCCGCAAACCGACATGGTAGCTACCTGGAAAGCAATACCGGCAATGATGATACCATTGCCGACGTTCAGCAGCTTATAGTTACTCTTCGTTGCTGCGGCAGCAACACCACCACCAACTGACTGCAGTATGAGAGAACCGATATCGCACAGAATGAACACCCATGTGTACAGCTTTGGCTTGATACGGGAGTGCTCCGGGCCAACGAAGATGACGATATGCTTGATTGTCAGGTAGACGCCAGCAGCCAAGAAGGTAGGAGCCAGGATGAGGCAGACAATTTGGATTTGAAATGCGTCTTTCGACCAGGGATTCTTGTTCATGAGCAGACGCCCTCCGTAACCGATCGCTTCTAGGGCGCAGGCCATGAACAACGCAATCAAAAAAGACCATGTGCGAGTGAAAACTCCAAGGCCTAGCTGGACGAGAGCAAGAAAGGCGAAGAATGCGGTCAAGAAGGCATTTGACCCGAGCTGGGGATAGTAGCCGTAGGTGGTGGCCACAACAGGGCACGCTGGCCCAACCTCCGTACAGGTAGCAAAACTCGGCTGTACCATTGTTCTTTTTTTTTTTTTTTTTTTTTTTTTTATCTGATTTTCCCCGCTTAGTTAACGAGCAGCGTTTAATAAAGGGTATGTTGAGATCGAGCTTGCGTCCGGCCCAGCGAGACGTAGGAGGAAGGGAAACCAGCAGAGCAAAAGGGAAGAAAAGAACAAGAGAGTCGGATATCGTCTGTGATAAGTACGGAGCCATTAGTTATGCATAACTTTTTTGCCCGTTCATTAATAATATGCTGGGCGAGGACGGGGACCAGGGAGGACTTGATATCAAGTCGTTCTCGCTTTCGCTCTCGTTTTCTCTCTCCAGGCGTTCCGAACCCTGGATGGGCTCCACGGGGTCGGCCATGTCTCCCGTAAACCCGCAGCATGTCCAGGCTAGCTTGGAGATGAAAAAAGAATAAAAACGAAAAGAAAAGAAAAAAGTAAGCAATACATAGCTTGTCTCCAGAAGAGTGCTAGCAGCCAGTCAGGGAGGTTCGCAGCTTGTCAATTTGATGATCGCTGCTTGCATGCCTCAGAGCTGGATGGTGGATTATCCGGGCCTTCCGCCGGCGTCATTGGCCAGCGCTCCCGAAAAGCCTTATCCCAATCACGCTACGGTGACAGCCAGGCCAGCGGACACTGAGCGACCTGTCATTCTGGGACATGCCGGCAGGTAATGGCTGTTATTAATGCGGCGGGACTGCTGGTCAAAACATGGCGCCCCGGAGATCGCATAAGAAGTCGCGGAATGGATGCGACCAGTGCAAGCAGAGACGAGTCAAGGTAGGGTTGTTGTTGTCCAAGCCAGCAGAGCTTTTTCGTTCGTTTTGCCCTTGCACCGCATGCTTCCCCCCTCGCTGCTATTAGCTATTAGCTATTGGGTCGTGTTAAGGCGTGGGATGGATGCTGTCTGTATCAGGTCGATGGCATCGTATCTCTGTCCTTAACTGGTTGTTGACCGAGCCTGGCTGGTCAGGCATAATAATTGCTGCGTACCGGGCAACGCACAATATATGAGGATTTCATATATGCCCATCCACATCCAACTCCCCCCATCAGCCGCGAAGGTGCCTGGCCCCATGCTTATTTCTTGTTTCTCTCCTGTTATAGTGTGACGAACGAGGCCCTCCTTGCACCAACTGTCAGAATCGAGAGATAAATTGCGTTTACTCATTGGCGGCTGCTCGCCGAGTCAAAGCAGCCTCAACGACGTCTGCCGAAGCGTCACCCATACAATCATCCCTATCACCAAACGCGCCTCCCGTCCCCAGCGGTAACCAATACCATAATGGGCGGGCCGAGCCAAGTCCAGGCCCACCACCTCCTGTAGCACCACCTATTCTTCCTCTACCTCCTGCCGTCCGCCTGCTTGAGTTCGAATTAGCCCACAAATACACTACCGATTCATATAAAAGCCTTTCTGGCGTACCCGAAGACGGGTATACATGGCAGGTCCATATCCCACGTCTGGCAATATCTAGCCCTTTTTTGATGGATGGGATCTTTGGGTTGGCAGCCCTGCATATAGCGTCAAGTGCGAAGCATCCGTCTGAAATTGTTTCGTACTTTGATGCTGCTCTTCGATATCATACCCTTGCCTCGTCACCTTTCCGTGAGGCCTTAAACAACATCACACCTGCCAATTGTGAAGCGGTCTTTGCCTTTGCCATCATCACTACGGTTTTCACATTTTCCTCAACACAGATAGCACCAGGCGGCAGGGAAAGCGGGACTGTACTTGAAGATGTGATAGCAATATTCGAGCTATTGCAGGGAATCAAAGGCATCTTCTCAGTTAGCGAGGGTTGGCTGGAAGTCGGCTGGTTCTCGTCAAGCATCAGGATAGAATCAGAGGATCTCCCGGTAAATAACGAGCCAGGAACTGAAATTGCCTTCCGAAAGTTAATGGCCTTTACGGATGAGACGTTAGCCTCCGCCAGTGCGGAAGAGTATAACGTTTTTAAGCGCCTAGTCCACAAGCTTGAGCTATGTTTCTCAATATTCCGTGAGAAACAAGATCAGAGCCTGGTATTATCATGGCTAGGCATGCTGGATAAGAATACCGTATGCGAAGCTCGGCGCGGCAACCCCTTGGTACTGCTTCTCTTTATGCATTGGGCGGTTCTCATGCATCTCATGGAACCTCGCACCTGGTGGGCTAAAGGCCTCGGAGCCGGGCTAGTTGCAGAGTTGCTAAATCGATTTCCGTCTGATCCTCGGTTGGATGAAATGACTCGGTGGCCACGAGAGAAGGTAAACCTTCGCCCAATCAAGCTTTTGGCATAAAGTGTTTTGGGTCAAATTGCACCGGCGCAGGAGGTATGACGATAAAAGCTGAGACCAGAGCAGGCTTGTTCTTCTTTTCTTTTCTTTTTCTTTTTCTTTTTTTTTTCTTTCACCTGCCCTTCTCCTCTCTGCGGATGAGATTAATTATCCTTCTCAAAATGATGTAACACGATGGCAACGTTGCCTTCGTTATACTTTAAGTTCATCTTTTTTTTCCCATGTATATTTTAGTTCAGCCGATAATGAACTCGTGTCTTCAAATATGCAATCTCAACCAAAAAGTCTCAATTTGGAGAGTTCCTGAGGTGAGGGTCTAGTTCATCAGTTTGAAACTCAAGAAAAAAAAAGATATAACCAGTTCACTCACCATTAGAAAACTCGGCGTTGGAGCCACCCAGGCGCATGATAGAGACCAAGTTACCCCGGCAATCCTGCAATAATATTTCTGTGTCTCATTGCATATCACTCCACATCCTTGAGTTATAACAATCATGGGCCACTCCACAATTCCCACTCCTTTTTTTTTCAGTTCTTCCAGGAAATTATATCATTAAAAATAAAAAGAGACGCACAGGGTGTTCTTTCGGTGCCAAGAACGGGGGACTGTCGGACGAACGGGATATAAGAGTTAAATGGCCATAATTTTTGACAGTAGTATTCCGGAACTATGGAGTACTAGGGCTGAACTGGCCAAGTACGAAACTCAGTTCAAGCAGGATGCTAGGGCCAAAGATGAGCAACGTTAAGACTCGCCCTGTCTCATGGCGCCTGGATGCCTGTGTTACCAAGTTAGGATTCCTGTCCGACACTCATGGGAATCGAATCCGACGATAATGCGAGAAATGCCCGGAGACCAAGGCACGACGCTTTTGGTCGTGTGATCGACTCTCTCTCATCTTTTTGGCATATGTAAGGGGAGTGAGGCAGAGTGTCTTTTTGGGGTATTATGCGGCTCTCACTTCTGATACCGTCCTGTTTGTAGATCCCTGCCGTTGTTCTCTTAAAATAGCAATCGAGGGTCCCATGTCAGCTTAGGCAGTATTCAGGACCAGAGCTCGGCCTTTCTCGCGGATCCATAGTACGCTCAAACAGGAGGAGGGAGATCCCGCCGCGTCTTTGAGTGTCGTTGACGTCGTGTTGACGGTGAGCCAACGGAGTACTTTCAGCTGTCGTTGAGAAATAGATATCACGTGACTTTTGCATTTCGGGGAGTCTAATTTCACTTCTTGTTTGTTTTTCTTTTTGGAGAGCGATCTCACCTCCGAGACTAACGAACTAGTTAACGGAAGAGAACGGCAACGAGCCATCGCCGCTAGCTACTCCATATACCCGGCCCTAATGTCGATACTGAGTAGATCACCGTCCTTCCTGCATACTACTTTATAGTTCGTTGATGGTGCAACGCTAACCAATCTTTCTGAATGTTTTAGAAACAATACATGAGTTCTTCATTGGCATCTATATCTAGTTACCATGATGTCAAGGACAATATCTCTCTATAGCTTTCCCCAGCCTCCACAGAAGTCCGAATGACTAGTCTGTATACAGGAATATTCGGACATCTAGCTTGGCCATGGGCGGCAGCGACCGTTATTGCCGTCGTTGTCCTAGCGAGTTCGTTAGTTACCGGGGATTGACAACATTGCTCGCTAAGATGGAATATCCACGTACGACAACGCAACGGCAATATCTGGCGGCACAGTCTTGGTTGTGGTTGCACGGGCGGTCAACAGGGCACTTGAGGTCGCATTCAGATTAGCGGTGAACACGTCTAGCTGCTGTATAGCAGGTGTGAATTACCTCGTCAGCGAGAGGGTTGTTGTTCCTAGCACCGAGGGTTGCTGCAAAACCGGTGGCAGCGAGCATCATGCTGACGATCAAGTAGAGCTTCATCTTTGCGATTCTGAAGTGGGATTATTTTGAATGACTGTGTATTTGTGTCTGGAAAGATTATGAGGAATACAGCAGGTCAATTGCACTTTATATATCTCTCCATGGTCGTCTGTTGCCCTCCTCTCTTTGCGCCTTGAGAGGATCAAATAACAACGCACAGCATAGAGCAGGATCAAACCAGCTGTGACCTCTTGGTAGTTACGGTTTCAATTCTCAGGCATAAAGCAACGCTATCTGCATTGAATCGCCTACCCCAGATGTGCTGGCTGGCCAAATATATCCTCCCGGAGGATTCAAATCCCGAGACATGCTTCCAGAGATGTATTACTATTTGGCTTCTGGTGGTTCGACCAAGCCACTAAGATCGACGGGCAGCGGAGCATCGTGCTGGTAACAACAAATTGTTGCCTGATTCACTTCAGCTCGATCCTACGGTCTTGTCTTTGACATTTCTGTGGTAAACTAAGCGTGATCTACTCCGTACGTAGTAAGACGATCGATTCTTAGTTATTCTATTAATATCCTTTGATAGCGAAGATCTAGCCCTGGAAGATCGCTCTTGTGTACTGAGTAGTAATCGAAGAGCATTGGCTTCGCATATTCATACGCTATCTTCAAGTCTCCAGCTTCAGCCTGCCCACAATTCATTCTATGCATATTTGATAGCCGCCAGCAGCTCCTTCGCAGTCTCTTTGATATCAACTTCCCGCTTGCTAAACACCTTCCTCTTTGGGACCGGAAAAAAATGCTTATCACGTGATTAAAGAGGAATAATGTAAATCCGAAATAAATGCAAACAAGACAAACAAGCCGAAAAGCGTAAGTTGCCTGATCTTCCAAACTGGGCAAAATCGACGACTTCAACTTCGGCTTCTTCGTTATTTTCTGCGCTCGCATTCAAGATCTTCGTCGATTGTTTGCTCGCTGATACTGGCGAAGCACGATGCCCAGGATAGGCCGCTGCATAAGACCCTGACGCCGAGCGAGTTTTACTGCAGACGGAATACTAACAACCCCCGCGACCCGGACATCTACATCCATCTCACCGGCACATCCAAACCGCATCACAACGAACCTCCCCCAGATACACATACGATGGAGAACTTCCCAACATTAGAACAGGCTGCGCGAGGGCGGCAAGGTGACCCTATGCGCCATCCCCAAGGCGGAGGACATCACGGACCCAGCCCGTCGAGCAACCAGCAGCAGCAACAACCGCAGCAACTACAGCAACCTCAAATTCCCCCGGCTTCCGCTATACCGCTTCTTGAGCCCCAAGGCCCTCCTCAGCTACCTCCCCAGCTCTTTACGACTGCGGCACAGCTACTAGACTTGACAGACAGTGAGATCCTTACCTTTCCGCGTTGATAGTGGGGAAACTTGTGTGTGAGAATTTGGGGTACATTTGAATAGGGAAGTGAGGTTTATAAGGTCGTGGCTAATTGATATATGATATCCGCCGTATAGAGAAATTGGTATTGGTTCTGCGTGATGGCCGCAAGTTAATTGGAGTATTGCGAAGCTGGGACCAATTCGGTATGTCAATGACATCTCCCTATTTACTGCATTGCGTTAATAGAGAGAGTACAAAGACTAACAGCTATCCAGCCAACATTGTACTGCAGGACACGATTGAACGACTATACGCCGAGAATCTGTATGCTGACATCCCTCGTGGAGTGTTTCTGGTCAGAGGAGAGAACGTATTGCTTCTTGGAGAGATTGTACGTCAATGTTCCTGCGAAGATACCATCCTCCAGCCACTAATTATGTCTCCAATGCAGGACCTCGATAAAGACGATGACATCCCAGAGCCTTACCGACAGGCACCTGCGTCCGAAGTCCTCAAGCTAAAGAAACAGGCCGAAGAGCGACGGAAACGCAAGGATAAGAAACGAAGCACGCATTTGCAAGCCCTCGGGTTTGAGCCTGAGCACAGCGGAGAGATTCTCTTCTGATTTGACTTTTCCAATCAGATCTAATCTAGTCTTATACGAATAGGTGCTGCTATTTAAGGACCATGCTGGGCACCGCTACGATGCATACAAAAAGCATTGATATGTGAACAACCAGCTATACCAGGTACTGCCCGGGAGCCACCTGTACAGGCTCTGTCTGCTAAAGGTGCCCTCCCTTTTCTGTCTAAATAGAGCTCTGAAGATGGATATGCCAGGCCATGCAGAATATTGTGAAATGCATCTCCTGCGCCAAAACGTCTGTTTATATTTCACACAATGACAGACTACATTTTCTCTTACCAACCCCGTCTCTCTATCCATCTGACCCTCAAGTCTATAGATCAAAGATAGAATTATCTTCTTTCTTCTGCTTCTTCGTTAAAAAATAATCTGCCGTCTTGCTGGCCCACACACTGACTCCCGCTATCGATAAAAACCCACTTTGCTCACTAAGGAAAAAAAAAAAAAAAAAATAACTACGCCAAAAAATTATCTCGAAAACCATAAAAAGAGCATAAAAAAAGAGAAGAAACTCCGGCTTCACCACCAACAAAAGCTGGCGACAGCTTCGACTCTAGCATCGCCGGCAGAAGCAGAGACGGGAAGCGAGAGCGAGTCTCCTGTATTTCGTCGTCATGGCGTCGCTGCACGAGAAGCTGGACAAGATCAAGTCCCCCAAGCTGCAGAACCAGCACCATGTAAGCAGCCCATCTACAGCTATACAGACCGGCAGACAGACAGACAGACAGAGAGAGACGACTAACAATGGCATACGCAGACCGGAGTCGTCCTTTCAGCAGTCGAAGACACCCTGCGCGACCAGAATGCCGAGTTCACCGCAACCGCCTACTTTGCTGCGCTGCTCGCCCTCCTCCCGCAGTCCATCAACACCGCCCAGGGCATCGTGAATAAAGAGCTGGCAACCTCCGTCGTATATCTGCTCGACACGGTCTCAGCCTTTGTCCCCGCGCCGCTGCTCCGCTCCAAGTTTGCGCAGATACTGGGCAGCTTGGTGCCGGCCCTGACGCTCGCCGAAGTCGAGGCCCCGCTGCTCAAGTCGTCCGTCGGATGTCTGCAGAACCTGCTTATAGCGCAGGACTCGGCAGCATGGGCGCTGCCGGCGTCAGAGGTAGGGCCTCGCAGGGCCATTGCGGGCATGCTGGCGCTGGCGGTTGATCACAGACCAAAGGTCCGGAAGAGGGTGCAGGATGCGCTGATACAGATACTCAGACAGCCTCCGCCGAGCCCGTCGCTGGACCATCCTGCGGCTGATCTATGTGCTGAGACGGCACTGAGGACTCTAAATGATAGTGTCACCGCTACATTGAAGGCGCAGGGGAGGAAAGGGAAGCATCAGCAGGACCACCAGCAGCATCATGAACCCGCGGTGTCGCATGCCCTGCAGCTTGTCAAGGCTATTGCGGCGGCCTCAGGAGGCTGGCCGAGCAGGAAGATTGAGCCACTGTGCGAGCTGCTTATGAACGTTGCCCGGTCGTCGAACGAGTACCTTACCATGGGCACATTCGAGGTGTTTGAAGTGATATTTACAGGAATGGCAGACGAGTTCACTTCCTCCAAGCTACCGCGTCTGCTAGACGCTATATCAGAGCTGAAGCCGGCACACAACGATTCACAGCTGCTCCCACCATGGATTGCAGTCCTGTCTCGAGGTTACGATGTCTCTGCCCAGATTTCTGCGCAGGAAACGTTTGAGAAACTGCCGGAGCTCGTCGACCTGTTCGCGAGCTTCCTCACCTCACCATCGCGGAATATCCGCACTTCTGCGTCAGAAGGTATGATTTCGCTTCTGGTTGCGTGTGTTCCAGAGTCTGTGCTGCTAGAGGCATCAGTGTACGATGAGAAAATCATTGAAAAGCTGGCCAAGTCAGCTACGGGATTGCTTGCAGTCAAGTACCAAGTTGCTCGATCAGAGGTATTCAATGTCCTCGAAGCCATGTTCAACGCCTTGCAGTGGAAGAGCTCGCCTGTGATGAACGAGGTGGTGAAGATAGTTGGTGATCTGCGTGCAAACGAGAACTTCCAGGGCAAAAAGGAGGCCGAGAAGGTGCTGGGTGCTGCCATCAATGTCATGGGCCCCAAGGCTGTGCTTGATATTCTCCCGCTCAATATTGTGAAGCAAAAGGCCGGCCAACCCGGTCGAGTCTGGCTTCTGCCTATTCTACGAGACCATGTAGCAAACACCAACCTGGCCTACTTCCGCTCTGAGTTTGTGCCATTGAGTGAAGCCCTGTATCAGCGGGTGATGGACTACGGAGATGCAGAGAAGACGGTTGAGGTCAAGATTTTCGAGACGCTGGTTCAGCAGACTTGGGCCTGTCTGCCTGGATTCTGCGAACTGCCGCTGGACATGAGAGAGGCCTTTGATCAGCCGTTTGCAGAGCTACTGTCGAATGTGCTGTATAAGCAGGCAGAGCTACGAGTAGACGTGTGCAAGGCGCTGCAGAACCTGGTTGAATCGAACCAGGCGATTACCTCTGTTGAGTCCGAGACGGAAGATCTTGTCTTGCAACGACGAGTTACCAGGGAAGAAGCGAGGAAGAATATCCAGCATCTTTCTGGGTTTGCTGGAAATATGCTTGCGGTGCTCTTTAATGTCTACAGCCAGACGCTGCCGCAGTTCAGGGGATATATCCTGCAATGCATCAACGCATATCTGAGCATTACAGGCGAGCAGGTATGTTACTATATACATACTACTTTTTACTATTACTAGTCTAACAAGAGTAGGAACTCATCGAAACGTTTGGCCGAGTAACGTCTATGCTGGAGGGCGCGCTGGAGGAAGAAGCCAACGCCAGCAGCAAGGCCGGCATGGGCCGCAAGGACAAGATGCCTCCAACCTCACACACACTGATGGACCTTGTTGTGACGATGTCCATCTACCTACCTCGCAGCAGCTTTGCGACTCTTTTCTCGCTTGCCTCCGTGGTGCTGAACAAGTCCTCTTCGGACCCCCAGCTTATCAAAAAGGCATACAAACTCATCCCCCGTCTCGCAGGCACAGAGGCCGGTCGCGCAGCTCTAAGCGAACGTAGCTCAGAGCTACAGGCCCTTATCCTGTCGACAGCAGACAAGACACCAGCCCCAGCTCACCGGGACCGTTTGCTCGCGATTCACGAGATCATCACCCACCTACCGACCGAAGACCTCCATTTCATCCCCGGCATCCTCTCTGAGGTTGTACTGGGCTGCAAGGAGAGCAACGAAAAGGCACGGACAGCTGCATTTGCCCTGCTTATCCACACGTCGCAGCGAATGATCGACTCCGAGCGCAACCCGCCGGGCACGAAGATCCGCAACTCGCTGGTAGCACATATGCCGGACGACGCACCAGACGCACCCGCCACCATTGAGGAACTATTCACAATGGTTTCTGCTGGTCTGGCCGGTAGTTCACCACACATGGTTGCGGCCAGTGTAACGGCCATGTCACGGCTGCTGTTCGAGTATCACTCGCAGCTACCGACCTCGATGCAGTCCGACCTAGCGCAGACCATCGAGCTGTTCCTGACCAGTAACAACCGTGAGATCGTCCGTTCGGTGCTTGGCTTCGTTAAGGTGGCTGTGGTAGCGCTGCCGGACGATCTGCTCAAGCCGCGCCTCCCGTCCGCGGTGCCTAAGCTCATGATGTGGAGCAAGGAGCACAAGGGCCGACTGAGGAGTAAAGTCAAGGGCATACTGGACCGGCTGATACGCAAATTCGGAGCAGCCTTTGTGGAAGGGTTGGTGGAAGAATCGGATCGGAAGCTGGTGGTATCGATTCGCAAGGAGCGAGAGCGCCAGAAACGCAAGAAGGAAGCTAAGCACGATGAAGACGAGGAGGATACACAGCAGCACCAGCAGCAGCACCAGCAGCATGTCCGAGGCCAGCAGTCTGTCCAGGCGGGACAGAAGTCGTTCAGCAATGAGTTCGACAAGGCAGTGTACGGCTCTGATTCGGATTTCATGTCAGGCGACGAGTCGGACGCAAGTGAGATTGAAATCGACAGTGCAGGCAATACCACCAAACGAGCCATTTCGTCCAGGGAGAAAGGCAGACGACGTGCGGGAGCGGGTGCAGGCGATACAGGAGAGCAATACATCCGCGAGCTCTCGCCTGAATCCAACCCGCTGGACCTGCTTGCCCCCGATGCACTGGCAAGCATATCCAGCACCAAGCCCAGCGTGCGCTTCCTAGCGTCGAAACATAAGCAGAAACGCCGCCCGCGCATGGACGAGGACGGCAAGCTGCTTCTGGGCGACGACCATGACGATGAAATGGATACCTCTGCCGGCGGTGCGGGCGCAGAGTCCGGTGTAAACGCCTATGTGACTGCCGTCAGCGGTCCGGATGCGCTGCGTAAGGGCCAAAAGGGCCGCTTGAGAGCCAGCCAGAGCAAGAAGGGAGACGACGACGATATGGAGATGGAGATGGACGTGGATGTGGATGTGGATGTGGATGGTGTTGAGAAGGGTAATAATGCGCGTGGCCAGGGACAAGCTGGCAGGGGCAAAGCTAAGGGTCTTGCAGCCAAGTCCGGCCGACGAGGCCTTGGGATGGGCAAAGAGAGAGGCAGCGCCGGGGGAAGCGGGAGGATTGAGAAGCGCAGGAGGGATTCCAGGGGTGGTCCTGGTGGTGGTGGTGGTGGTAGGGGGCGAGTTGGTAGGTAAGAAAGCGGCAGTTGGAAAGCAGGAAAAGGGGAATAAAATGCTTTTATGATATAGATTGATATCCATGGTTATGCAGCGATCAGAAGTCCTAGGAGCAGGGAAGGGGACGATATTTACTCCGTTAAAGTGACTCTATTATATATGCATGTTAGTGACTTAGCATCAACAGCGATGGTTTCTATTTTGTCGATCGATCTCGATTAGACGACGGGGCGTATGTATCCGGCGGGATGGGTGGTATTATTCATTCGTCATTAAAAAAGTACATATGCTCTGCAAAACACGATAGTAAAAGAACACACAGGGAGATAGATCGAATACATAGATAG